GGTGTAATTTTTCCCTTTTTTTTGGGGGTGGGGGGGTTTTCCTTAATATAAAATAAGTTTGATCGCAGTTTTTTTTTTTTTTTTGAGAAAATTGTATAAGTTATAGTTCCACCTTCGGTCTAATTTTCCCGACCTAAATCCCTAAAACTTTGCTTGGAAAAGTGAAATAAAAAGAAAAATTCCATCTATCCTATTGGAAACTGTTTAAATTCCACACAAATTTGGAATTAATTTGACTAGTTAGTTGTTAAATCTTAAAATTGCGCCAAACAAGTTTTAAAAACATTCAGCCTTTTTCTCCCGGGAGGAGGGAGGGAGGGTTGTTGAAATTTCGGGGTTAACTTTTAAGCAAAGCATATTTGTTTTGAAAAATAGTGGGGGAGTAATTAATCTTTTTGCTTTATTTGTAGTTTTAGCAATTAAAATTATACTCAAAGTAGAGGTTATATAGTGTATTGTGTAAATCTATTTGATCTATGAAAATTGCTTCGAACAGAAAAATAATATGCAGGGACAAAAAATACACTGTGGAATATCGAAAACAACAATTCGCATAAAGTTATATAAAAACTAATAGTACCGACCTATAAAAAAAATAAGTTGTTTTTCAGTGAAACATTTGTACAAACAAGAACAGTTACAACGACAACAACAACAGCAGAAAACACAATAACAATTTCGTTTTAACAGCAAATGAATAGATTTTCACAATTTGAAACGGTTTTGAAAACTATTACTGTGAAATTCAAATACAAATTGGGTTGAAAACCCTGTTTGAAAACATAGGTTAAATACATCATCGAATGCGATTTTTCCCATACAAATCCATCCAGGTGTAATTAAAGGGGGGAGAGCCCATCTCTAGAATACCCCCCCTAGTAGCTCAAAGGCTACATAAAAAAATGTAACGCGTTTTCTATAAATTTCAAAGTTAATTTAAAAAAAAAAAAGTTTTACTTTTTAAGGGTTTTCGTTTGTCACAAAAAAGGGTTATCGAACGAATAGATATTTTGAAGTGAAAATAATACATTGACAATCTTGATTGAACGTGTATTGTGGCAACAACATGCTTACTTATTGGACATTGAAGAAAATGCTCTTAATTCAGAATTTACTGTAGCCAAAAATTGTTGTAAAATGTATAAGTTTGATTCCAGTGAATATGTTTTGAGCCATCATCTTAAGGGGGTTTAAGTGGGTCCCTGTTTGTTGGACATTTTAGGCCTACTCGCAGGATGGTTAGATATTCTAGGTTAATGTAGAAATCGACTAATGATATTTCATTCATAAAATTGTGTTTTAAGTGCTATTTATTTGCTCAAATTTGTCTTTTCGTAAAGTAAATGAATCAGTTATTCAACAATCGACTTCCATAATAACATATTGCATTCCTGCGTTCAATCCCTTTAAATGTAATCGTTGAGCAATTGATTTATTTATTGTATTTTTAAACGGGTTAATACCCAATATTACAAATAAGAGATGAATAGGAGGAACATAAACATAGAATTTACACAAAAATAAAAGTATACAGATTAACACATAACAGCTGACAAATACAATATGGATTTCAACAACACAAAATAATAGACACACAAGCCTTCTTGCATCTACTCTTTCCAACGAGTATAATATTTTCTATAGGATATTTTAAAATTGGCAAATATTGTTGCAAGTGTAAAAACTAACGACCCAATAACCGCTTTTTCCAAATCTATTATTTTTCCAGTTTGGAACAAGTGGTTAACGGAAAAAACGGTCTCTGGAAAATAATGTCGATTAGGAAAAGTGTACCGTGGAATAACATGGTTTTTGGTATCATCTGGTGTCATCCCAATACACTAAGGAGCAAAGAATAGGCAATATTTGATAAAAATCGATCTATAGTAACCATTTTAAATATGTCGACTAACAATAACTATAAGGTCTAGCCAATACTTACATTTATTCTAGTTAAAAAAATCATTTAACGTTATTTTAAAATGACATCATATTTTCAAGTAATTTTCTGGCGTTTCTATTTGGAATGATTTCGATTTTGATGTTTTTTCCTATACTATACTATTTTCTTTATGGGGTCTAAAAGGTTGAATTTCGATTTAGAAAATTAATTAGATTTATTGGGAAAAAAGAGTATAAATAATAATAAAGAATATTCACTGTTGACTGTTTGGTTGTTTTCACAATATTAGTATAAGTGTCTCATATATTACATGTATATTATATTATCCTGTGTCATTTACTAATGTATTACTCTCTATTTCTATCACAAGCTTGCTTAAAATAGATATAGATAATCATGTTCATTATTTTACTATTTTATATTGCCTATATGTAATTATGATGATAAACAAAAAAAAAACATGAAAAATATAAACGCTTATAAATAAAATTTAGAAGAAAAAAAAAAATATATATATATATATATTAGCCCAAATAAACGATTCGTATTTAAAGCTTCGGTTTTTATGGAAATTAAAAATCGAAATATTGAATTATTAAACAAACACAGTAAACGTTAGGTAAGCACTGTGATCTACACTAGGATTTATTAAGGCGCATCGTATAGGCAATTTGTTACTAAGACTTAACAATAAGCTGACATTTTTTTAAACATACATAAATATTTATATTTATTTACATTTATTTTGTATTATCAATTAACGCCGTAGAAAAGATGGATCTATTTTTTTTTTCAACTCTTAAACCGCACACAGGATTTATTTTTGTACAAAAACATAATATTATATTTTTACTTACTTAAGAATACTGCGATTTAAGTTTTGAAAAGTCACGAAAAATTAGAAATATTTTTTCAAAACTTTGATCAAAATATTCTTAGGAACAATAAGTTTGAAGAAGAATGAGTTGTTATAGGCTATATTTTAGAGTGTGCTAAAATTATGTATGCCAGACTAAATATAATATGTTCAAACGATTAAATACAATATAAAATATTTTTGAAAACAAAAATGTTCTAAAATAAAACATTTCAACAGACTTTGTTTGACATTATTAACATTGTGTGCGTACAAATCAAAATGATTGGAGTTTGAATTTTTTAGGGGTGCTTAAGTCCCCCTAGCACCTCCCCAAGTTGCGCATGTGCCCCTTAGTCAAATTAATGTATAACACGAGTGTTTGGACAGTCTTTGTGTGGTAAATATTTTACACATTAACATATAATTATTATTGTACATAGTATTATAGTAGTCGATTTTAAGTGTCTGTAAATGTCAATTTTACATTACAATTGGCCGTGCCTTTGGGCTTTAAATGCCTAAAAAAATCAAATGGGCTCCAACGTCAGGATGGCCGAGCGGTCTAAGGCGCCAGACTCAAGGTTTCCCCTTACCCATCATTGCGACGGGTGTTGAGCGTTCTGGTCCTCATCTGAGGGCGTGGGTTCGAATCCCACTTCTGACAAATCTTTTTTGCATTTTTTTTTCACATCCCTAGAACTGTAACGATTTTCGTTACAAATTATATTTCCTATAAATTTGCCATTGTTTTAATTTTAACTACTGATAATTAATAAATCATCGATGCTTTCAGGATTTTTTTTTATACTAAAATAATACATCGTATTATAAGTCTAACAATGATTAACTCAAATTTATACGTAAATGGTTAAATCGTTCATTTTTTTTTTTAATGTCCGGTTTTTTGTTATCAAATACTTTTATATTTTTAATTAATCGATGTATAACGACATCATAATGTTAAACATAGTTAAATTAATAATACATTTTAGAACACTTGGATGAAAAAGTCGTAGTTTTCTATGAAAAACTTGATATTGAATTTCACACAATTATGCAACTTTGTGGTCACCATCTCGTTAACCGCTTTGAAAGTAAACCGTATGAAAAAATGTTAAAATCAATTTGGTGAAACCATTTGTTGTTAATTTGTTACAAGAGTACATATTATCTAGTACCTTAGAGACATAACGATTCAGGTGCACTTTTTACAAAAATTTGGTTACACTTCTTCCATCAAAAATGTATTCTGCACAGTTCTTTTTCATAACTACCCAAGTTCTATCAGTAATACATTTTTAAGAGTCGTTGAAAAAAAAAACCAAATGATCCAAACAAATGCGATATTAACATTATATTTTGTTCGTTGAGCGTAAAACTGTAATATTTTTATTTGTGATGTTCATAATTTTGATTTTTTCGATAGTATGCGTTTTGCGTTCAGATAGATAAGAATACTCTTGTTGATAAGTATCACTATCTTATAAACAGGTCCGGTAAACATTTGGTTATCATTTGGTAACCTATGACCGAATGCCACTCCGTACGCGAAAAAGAGTAAACGTTTTTTACCAATATGGCGGCAACAGGCGTGAAGTTTCCTCGAGAAGTTTGAATTACGTGTCGGCTGATCAATGCACGCCTGTGGCCGCCATATTGGGAAAAAAAGGCTACGCTTTTTCGTGTGGGGGGATATCGGATCTGGTTATAAGACCATGATAGAATATTCGTGTTATTTGAATATTATAACAGCTCTAAAATATTATCAACGTTGATTAAAGACAGTGAAGCTACTTATAGTCTGATCGTTACCTATTTTACTTTTTCATCTTTTATTTTATTTCCTTTTAATTATTTGCTTCAATAAACTTTATTCAAACGTGAGTCGTGTCGTCTATTCATCAAGAATTTGTTACTTAATCGAAATTATTTTCGCTCTAAAACGTTAAGGTTACATTGTCGTTCCATAATATTTGACTACTTACTTAAACTTAAAATATCGTATCTTTGTACTAAACACTGCCTATCTGTTTTTTCAAAGGTATTACTATTTTGGTTGGTTTTGAAGTAAAAAAAAAAAAGAAGCTTTTTAATACAAGCAAACTTTTTTTAGTTAAAGGTTTCCTTTTTGTCAAGTAACAATAGTTAACACTAAACACATTTTTGGAACAAACAAGCGTTGTATTGTATAAAAATATTAACCATGAAGTGTGGCAAGTATAAAATAACACTGTATAATATATTAAATAGTTTTCATTTATTAAATTGTCAAGTTTTATTATTGAAATACATATTACGAACATTAAATGTGTAGAAATATTAGAGAATCTGGATCATAGATGAAATAAATATTTTATTTAATAATTATGGTGGGGACCCTGACAATACATAAGCAACAAATGTTTTCTTAATCGTGATCAAAAGTGTTTTTATTTTTTAAATACTTTAAATTTATTGACAAATCTGTTTTTAAAAGGTATGCAAAAATATAATTATAGTAGTATAACTATATTTTAATTAATGTATTTAAAAAAAAAAAAAACAGTTTTGATTACTTACTTTCGTAAATTTTGTGATCTAATTCTAATTTAAAAGGATTGTAGGTCCCTGTAGTAGGGTCCAATACCGAAATTTGGTCTCCTTCTTTTTTATAATGGGTAACATTGTCGTTTATGTCATGTAGTGCACAAGTTCCTCTATCATCGCCATCAGCTACTTTTATAAATTCATCTGGGTATAAAATACTTTGGTATACTCCTAGCAAAACGCACATACCAGAAAATTTTTCAAAATTTGTATTGGGTCCCACTGAAAAAAAAAAAATTAAATTTAGCTCATTCGGTATTAATTTTCCTTGTTTGCAAGACACAGCAGCTACAAGTGTAAGAAGTATTTATATTACATATAAATATTATATATGTAATTATAAACAGGTAGGAAAAATGGATCTGAATACACTTACCTATTATATCAAGGATTAATAATTTTATAGCTATTACAGTGAACATTCTTCTATCATGTCCCAGATCGTTTAGAGTAGCGTTTTCGTATTCGGCTAAAACAATAAAAAATAAATTAATAACATTTTAAAGAACCCGAAAACGACCAACCTAACCTAACCCAACCCTTCCCCAACGAGTACGCTTAGTTTTACTATTCATAGTGTGTGCCCCTCTTCTGTTGAACTTGTACATTAGTAATTTACCAAGTAATAACTCCAAAAAAAATTGTGATTACCTTCGTTTATGTTGGATGCACCGGGTACTGTAACCAAAATAAAAAAATATTGAACAGTTATAAGATTAGTATAATCTAACAGTCATAATCCTATAGTTGAGATTTTTTTAGAGAAATCAATCAATGTAAACTAATGGCAAGACTTCTTGTAGACTTCTTGACTAGACCTCAAGTAAAAAAAATAATATTATATGAATATGACTTTGAACTCGAATATTTATCGTTTAAGTTAAATAATCGCATAAAAAGAAAAATTTTATATTTACATTGGTAAAACCATTCTTTGTTACTCCAAAGTGCTTGGTAAAATGTCTTTGCTAAAATTTAAAACAAAATCATTTTAAATGCCCGTAATTTATTATTATGGAAATCAATATATTTAAGTCAATGATTTTTCTCAATAATATATAGCATAATTTTTACTACTTAATATTTACGTTGCCTAATGGGAATGTGTCCGTCTGTGTTAACTGACAATTTAGAAATTACGTCTCCATCGGCATCTGAAATCAAATTAAAAAAAACATTTTTCACTTAAATAGAATATCAAACAACCGTGTGGGAATAATCTCATACTATGTTGAAAAAATTATTACCCGGTACCGCTATAATCAAAGCTAATTCCGCTGAAAATAATATAAAATAAATGACATTAGATTCATTTTTTTTTATTCCAACTTAAAAAATAAGTCCAATGTCAAGTAGTAAACACATAGGATGTCTTATGAATTGGGAAAAAATGTGTTCAGATTTATTAAAATATTAATTGAGTAGAAAAAATGGCCGTAGACGTGGCGAGTAGAATATAATTTAATGATTATAAGTGAGGTTTATCATTATTATTATTTTTTATACTATAAAAAATTATGATTACCCATTGTAAATTCTCCATAAAGAATAAGACGTTGAATCAGTCCCCCTAACTCAGCTAGAATAAACAAATAATGGGTTTAGCTATAAAGAAAAAAAACATTATTATATTTTAGTATTATTTCATTAAATATTTTTTACGTTTTGGTATGATGTTCATTTGGTTGTCTGTAAAAGAATTATATAAATAAGTATAAGAATAAAGAAAAAAAAATGTTTATGAAAGCAAATGTTTACTCACTCATCAAGATAACTTGCTTTAAATAGGTATCTGCGAAATAAGTTAAATATTGAGTTTTTTTTTTTTACAGAATTTTACTGTCTTATGTACGCTTTAATATAAAACAATCACCTAAAGCTACCGACACATTGACCAAAGCGAATGGTAGTAAAATATATAAAATGTTCATTTTTATCTGCAAAAACATTAAACAAACAATAAATATGTATTTATCTGCTAAGCTTAGCTGAGATGCTAACACAATGTTTCTTCAGTTCAAATGCCTTATGTGACTGGCACCAAGATGTTTTCAAAAACCGCTGAATTAAAAAAAAAAACTTTATGAAGGAGAGAAAAACCTCTAAAAACTTTCAAATTTTTCAACTTAAAATTACATTTTTTTTTTTTTTTAAATAGCCGAATAAAATTCTAATTTGTTTGATGTTTTTTGGTTTCAACCCATATTAGTTCAAACAGTACTCTGATAAAAAAATATATATTTTTTTTATTAAAAATCTGGTTAAGAACCTTTTTCCTTATACTATTATGGATTTTTTTAGCTTCGACGCGGAGCTAAAAAGTCATTGGTTTTAAAATGATTTTTTATTATTATTATTTTTTTGTATTATATTCCTTTATGTGTACAAAATGTATAAAATATGTAGTTTATCATAATTATATCATGTGACTGGATCCAAGATGTTTTCAAAAACCGCTGAATTTAAAAAAATAACTATATAAAAGAGAGAAAAAGCTCTAAAAACTTTCAAATTTTTCAACTTAAAATTACATTTTTTTTTTTTAGACAGCTTAATAAAATTCAAAAATGTTTGATATGTTTTGGTTTCAATCCATAGTCTTTGTACATGACTTAGTTCAAACAGTTCTCTATAAAATAATTATTTTATTTTAAAAATCCGGTTTATAACCCTTTTTCTTATACTTTTATGGATTTTTTTAGCTTAAAAGTTATTGGTTTTAAAATTATGTTTTATTGTTTTTTTATGTGTATAAAAATATCAAACATGTAGTTTAACAGTATTTTTTAACAGTAGATTTTTATTTAATATGATTATAAAAAAATTGTTTTTATACAGATTTCTGAGAAAATTACATTTGGTTATTAGAGCCTCGCGTTAGATTTACACCTTCAGTCTAATTTTCAAAAATCTCAAGCTCAAAACTGAATTTTCACAAAAGTAGTTTAACTGTGTGTCTATGTGTGTGCTGTATCTAAAAACTGTTCCATACAAGTTTAAAAAAAATTTGACTATATTTTAAAAAGTTATAGCGTGTGGTTTTTTTTTTAGGTTAAAAAACAACAATAGGTTTAATTTTTAGGTGTTTTTTTTTAGGTTAATTTTTATTTTAAAAGAGTTAGATATTTTTCTTTAATCCCGTGGCCCTATAAAATAGCTTATACAGTAACTGTATAAGATACATATATAGATTATGTGTGGGTACAATTTGTGTAATATAAACCAGCGATTTTTATGAAATTGATTTATTCGTTAACAAGTCGGTGCCAGAAAAATAATTAATTAATTAGTTAAATTTAAAAAAATGTATAAACTATGTACTTACAGTCTTGGACGATGGTTGTCTATTTGTAGCTAAAATAAAGTATTGGAATTTTTGTAATTAATTTATTTGGAAATAAAGTATTGGAGTTTACAAGCAAACCGTTCAATAGGCGTTGAAAACTTGAAACAAAGTGATTTTCTGACGACCTCTTGACTGGCTTTTATGTCCACCGAAACAGTAAAACGTTAACGTCATATCTTATGGATGTCAATGTGTTGATTTATTTACATATATCTTTTGTACTTTTTTTTTATATATATAAAATGAACCGTAGAAATTTGAACACGTCTGATTTGTTTTTTTGCAAACCAAACCGCGATAAATAATTTTTTTTTGTTTTTCATGCTCGCCCACATATTTACAAAATATCGTACTTGGATTATATTATTATTCGTCGATAATAATATTGTTACTGAAATTTCAAAATTTTAACGCCTCGTTTTTTTTCCATAGTAATTTTAGGATTATTTTTTTGTACTACCTTTTTGGCAAACTATTTTATTTTATAAATTGTTCAATACTTAATTATAATGTACACGATTATAGTACTTATTGACCGCATATAGTTTTTCATTGACATATAGTACCTACAAATAATATTAATAAAGGGAACAACATTACCGTGGGCACCCTGTGTTCGAGTATAAATAATTTTTTTGAAAAGTTACAATCGTTTAAAAATGTTGAAATAGTTAAACAGCCTGCGTGAACATGATAGAACAAAAAATCGTACAATTTTGTAATAATTTGTATCTCCTAACCCGTTTTACAGTATAACGACCATAGACAGGTGGAATAATAGAAGAAAAAAAAATTATAAACATAAGGGTGTAGTCTTTAGTATTAAAAAAAAAAGTGACAATATTATTAATACTCATGATACTTATTGACTAGAAATAAATCTTATTTATCCCGATGATATTCAAATGATACATTTTTCTTTTGGTCTAATTATTTCAATAATAAGCTTTAATAAACTACAATGCGGCCCATAAAAACGGTTTATTGACATTTTTTTAAAATTTAGACGTGATTATAAAATCATAATTTTTTTTCAACAACCAACTCCAATAAATATGTTAATGGGGGGGGGGGCGCAATTGTTTACCGTTCAATATTTAAAGCCAACATTATCGTACTTCGTTACTAAAAGCAATTTATTAATAAAAAAGGAGTTGTTACAAACACTGTGAAACGAGAAATTTTAATATATAGAGATAATGCACAGTTAAATTAAAAATCAGGCGTTTTCAGGAAAATCTCGATTTAACCTAGCCGCCATGAGATATTCAAACCCAAATTTTTTTTTGATCCTCACATACATTTAATAAGGCCGATATGGTCCAAACCGTGCCATCAAAACAAGGTGGACGAGTGTTATCTTTATTTGTAATATTTTATAAATTAGGTTCCACTCTTTTGCTAAATTAAAAAAAATTCCAACGCCTCAGTTTCTGATCAAGCGCATTTCAGTGAATTCTTATCAAATAAAGAATTACCGTTTAAAGTATCTAATAAATCGTTCATACATTTTACCAATATCGCAGTGTGAGTTGTTGTGAAGGCTACAGAATTACTAAATATTTGAAATGCTAATTTGCAATTTGATTTTTTTCGGAACGGACCCGGTTTTATATGAGAATCAGTTAATTTTGTTAAAGCTACACTTGTGTTACAGCAAATTTTTTTTGCATTTCAGGTCCATTTCGGTCTAGATTTTACCGAGTGTAAAGTTTGCACAGTTACCAAAACACGGGACGATCGAGACAGATAATTAAAAAAATTAATTAAATTAGCAGTATTCAATTTATACGATACCGTTTTTCAAGTTTGAACGTGTAATTCAGATAAACGTTTATTTTTTAAAAGCCCTTGATGTCGTGGTGTACCATCATCATCATCATATTATCTATTTTTGTTGAACATTTTTTTTTTTTTTAAATCGGTGTTGGCATGTCCATTTACATTTTACGAATGCCCGAAAAAAAACCTGTACAACTAATAAATATAATGAATTTTTTTTTTGTAATTAAATAGCTGAAATAAAAATTCAGCCAGCACGTGTTCCCCTAACGCGACTGCGTATAGGCAATCAAACGATCATGTATGCTTTCCACTTGACATGTATGTTTTTTTTTTTTTTGTTAAGTTCCGGATAAGTAACAATAGTTAACACTAAACACATTTTTGGAACAAACAAGCGTTGTATGTTATTTATAAATATTATCCATGTAAGTGTGACGAGTATATAAAATAACACTGTATAATATATTAAATGGTTTTCATTTATTAAATTGTCAACTTTTAATATCTAAGTACATAATATTAGGAACATTAAATGTGTAGAAAATATTAAAGGATCTGGATCATAGATGAAATAAGTATTTTATTCAATAATTAGGGTGGGGACCCTGACAGTACACAAGCAACAAATGTTTTCTCAATCGTGATCAAATCCGTTTATTTTTAAATACATTAAATTTATTGACAAATCTGTTATTGGGGAAGGTATGCAAAAATATAATTATGATAGTACTTTGAAAAAAAAAAATGTTGCCTTATATCGTTACATGTAAGGAATGTAAGCTCCTTGTGGAATTGTCGAATTGCCAAATTTTGCCATCCAGTTCATAATATCTGGTAACTTCGTCCTTTATGTCATGTAGTGAACAAGTTCCTCTATCATCGCCATCAGCTTCTTTTATAAATTCATCTGGGTATTTAATACTTCGGTACACTCCTAGCAAAACGCACATAACAGAAAAACTTTCAAAATTTGTATTGGGTCCCACTGAAAAAAAAAAAAAATCAAATTTAGCTCATTCGGTATTAATTTTCCTTGTTTGCAAGACACAGCAGCTACAAGTGTATAATAAAGTGTAAGAAGTATTTATATTACATATAAATATTATATATGTATTTATAAAAAGGTAGGAAAAATGGATCTGAATACACTTACCTATTATATCAAGGATTAATAATTTTATAGCTTGCATAGTTATCTTTCTCCTGTCATTTCCCAGATCTCTTAGAGTAGCGTTTTCGTATTCGGCTAGAACAATAAAAAAATAAATTATTAACCTTTTAAAGAACCCGAAAACGACCAACCTAACCTAACCCCCAAAAAAATTGAAAAAAAAAAATTGTGATTACCTTCGTTTATGTCGGATGCACCGGGTACTGTAACCAAAATAAAAAAATATTGAACAGTTATAAGATTAGTATAATCTAACAGTCGTAGTCCTATAGTTGAGATTTTTTTAGAGAAATCAATCAATGTAAACTAATGTCAAGACCATCTTGTAGACTTCTTGACTAGACCTCAAGTAAAAAACATAATATCATATATATGACTGAACTTGCATCGATATATAATAATAATACAGTTTAATAATCGCATAAAAAATTTAAATTTTATATTTACATTGATAAAACCATATTTTTTCTTGCCAAATTTCTTGGTAAAATTTCTTTGCTAAAATTCAAAACGAAATCAATTTAAATGCCCGTAATTTGTTATTATGGAAATCAATATATTTAAGTCTATGATTTTTCTCAATCTTATATAGCATAATTTTCACTACTCAATATTTACGTTGCATAATGTGTTTTTCTGACGTCAAATTAGAAATTACGTCGTCTTCGGCATCTGAAATTAAAATTAAAAAAAAAAAAACATTTTTTACTTAAATAGAATATCAAACAACCGTGTGAGAATAATCTCATACTATGTTGAGAAACGTATTTACCCGGTACCGCAAAAATCAAAGCTAATTCCACTGAAAATATAACATAAAATAAACGGACATTAGATGCATTTTTTTTGTTCCAAATTCAAAAATAAGTCCAATGTCAAGTACACGTGGCGAGTAGTAGAATACAATAACCTAAAATGTTATTATTTTATTTACTATCTATAAAATTATGATTACCCATTGAAAATCCTCCAAAAAGAACGACACTTTGAATTACTCTCGCCAACTCAGCTAGAATAAACAAACAATGGGTTTAGCTATGAATAAAAAAAAAAAAAGGTTCAAATATAATCTTATCTTAATTATTATTATAAAACTCTTCCAAATAAGAGTATGGCATGCCTTGAGCGGTTACCGTCTCACTTAACATTACTCATCTTGTTAGCATAACCACTGTCTATAATATGATATAAATTAACTGATTTACATAAATCGAATATCTATGCTGTGTTTATAACCTTAGTGTACCTCATTCATTTTTAATTTTAACATATTATAATTACTACAATTTTTCGATTTTATCATTTCAGATATTATTATACCTAATGTCAAAAACATTTTACATTTACCTTTTGAATCATTTCTCATCTGTTGGTCTGTAAAAAATTATATTTATAAACATATGTATAAGATAAAAAAAAAATTATGTATGAAAGCAAAATATGTTTACTCACTTAACAAGATAACCTGTTTTAAATAATCATCTGTGAAATAAGTTAAATATTGAGTTTTTTTTTTGTAGATTGTCTAATGTAAGTGTAAAAATGAAATAATCACCTAAAGCTACCGAAACGTTCACCCACGCAAACGATATTAAAATATATAAAAATTTCATTTTTATCTGCAAAAATATTAAACAAACAATAAATATGTGTGTATCTGCTAAGCTTAGCTGAGATGCTAACAAAATGTTTCTTCAGTTCAATTATCTTATGTGACTGGATCCAAGATAGTTTGAAATTCGCTGAATTAAAAAAAAAAAATGATAAAATAAAGAAAAGCTCTAAAAGTATTGACATTTTCAACTAAAATTACATTTTTTTTAAAATAGCTGAATAAATTCAAATTTGTATGGTGTTTTTTGGTTTCAATCCATAGTGTCTTTGTACATGATTTGCACTTAGTTCTTAATCATAATTGTTCAAACGGTTGTCAATAAAATAATAATTTTATTTTAAAAATCTGGTTTAGAACCTTTTTTCTTATACTTTTATGGATTTTTTTAGCTAAAAAGTTATTGGTTTTAAAATTATGTTTTATTGTTTTTTTATTTGTACAAAAAGATCAAACATGTAGTTTAACAGTATTTTTAACAGTAGATTTTAATGTAATATGATTATAAAAAAATAGTTTTATACAGATTTCTGAGAAAATTATACGTGTTTGTTAAAGTCTCACGTTAGATTTACACCTTCAGTTTAATTTTCAAAAATCTCAAGTCCAAAACTGAATTTTCATAAAATTAGTTAATTACTGTGTATCTATGTGTGTGCTCTATCTATAAACTATTCCATACAAGTTTAAAAACAATTCTACTTAACTACAAAAAGTTATAGCGTGTGGTTTTTTTTTTTTTAGGTTAAAAAACAACAATAGGTTTAATTTTTAGGTGTTTTTCTTTAGGTTAAATATTGTTTTAAAAGAGCTAAATATTTTTTTTTACTCCTGCGGCCCTATAAAATAGCTTATACAGTAACTGTATAAGATACATATATAGATTACGTGTAGGTACAATTTGTGTTATATAAACCAGCGATTTGTATGAAATTGATTTATCCGTTAACAAGTCGGTGCGAGAAAATATAATTAATTAGTTGAATTAAAAAAACGTATAAACTATGTACTTACAGTCTTGGACGATGGTTAGGTACTATTTGCAGCTAAAATAAAGTATTGGAATTTTTGTAATTAATTTATTTGGAAATAAAGTATTGGAGTTTACAAGCAAACCGTTCAATAGGCGTTGAAAACTTGAAACAAAGTGATTTTCTGACGACCTTTTGACCGGCTTTTATGTCTACCGAAACAGTAAAATCTTAACGTCATATTTTATTGCTGTCTGTGTTTATTTATTTACATAGCTGTTTTACTTTTTTTTTGATAAAATTAACTGTAGAAATTTTAACACGTGTGATTTTTTTTCAAACTAAACAAATAAAAACCAAATTTGTTTTTCATTTTCGTCGACATATATACAAATCGTAATTGGATTATTATTAATTGTCGATAAAAATTGTTAGTAACATTTTAAAAGCGCCTTGTTTTTAAGTACTTTTAGGATTATTTTTTTACCTAATACTTAAAAAAAAATGCACCAAATTATTATTGTTAAGTAATACTTGAACAGGGTTATTGATCAATGGACGTTTACCGAAAAAATGGTAAAAAAACGGTTTTCAAAATGATAATAATTCGTATAAAATTGAATACAGTTACCTGTTGTTTTTTTTTTTACTTATGTGAGTTTTATATATTTTTTCAAAGATATGAGACAACTGACTTTTGTTTTAGTGAATATTTTTTTAAGATTTTAAGACCACGGCTTTTTATTGCTAAAAAAAACACTGGATTCGCACAAATCTGAACGAGAGTATTAAATTAAACAAAATAGGAATATTCATTGTATTTTATGTTTTGTCATAATTAATAACACTTAAACTTATAGTCTCTGATAAATATTAAAATATTGTCTTTGCAAAAGAGATTATCTGAAACGGGAACTTGTTTGTACTTGGAAATAGCAACGCACGTTTGTCTAAAAAAATGGATCCTGAAAAATATAAGCCGAACAAAACAATAAAATATCAAAATAGATCCATCTTTCCTGTTAAAAATGTCCTTAAAAATGTTTACAAGTTATGACTTAATGTATTAGGTTTTTGTAAAAAAAAATTGCCTATACAATGTGCCTTAATCCGTGCTAGTGTAAAAACAACTTTATTATAAATTTTTAGTAATATTACTAATATTTTATGGTTTTTGTTAAACTTGTTGTCTTTTGAAAACTACTATTTGGCCCAATTAAAAACTTCATATTTCAATACTTTTTTTATTTTTTACAATACGGCCGTTAGCCCAAAACACAAAAATAGATTAACATTTAACAAAAAACTTAAGTATTATTTATGTTTACAAAAAAAAAAAAATATATATATAGCATGCAATAATATTTCAAAAAATAAAGATTAAAAAGAAGTACATAGTTTATGTAAAAATGGTTTACTTTTAAAAGTAAACAATTTTTACTAGGTATATTTTGCGCAATTTAAATAATTATTAATCTAATCTCAAAAAAAAAAAAATTATATAATATAGTTCCTTAAGTATATTAGTTATTTTTTACTTATTTTCTGTGGCTTTTCTTTAAAATTTGACCCGGTTACTTCTATAGCCGTTAACCTTCGAGTTTCACATCTGTTATGAGGTTTATTTTTTTGCTTCTCACACAATTGTCTAGAAAATAAATAATTAATGTGGAAACACATAACAATTTAAAATTCAAAAAGGTGTAATAATATTATACAAAAATTAATATTAATGATTATTATCTGTCGCAAGGCTAAATTTTTTTTGTTTCTCACACCATTGTCTAATTACCATATATAATTAACATAACAGCTGAACACTTCAAAAGGCGATACATTTGATATTGTAATACAAAACTAATACTTTAGGTTAGGTTATTTATTTGTATTACACGGTAGTGTCGAAACATTCTCCTTGTTTTTAAATTAGCTTAAACTGATATACTTTACACGGATCAGAACAATAATTAGCCTCTATGAAACAAGTGTCAAGATTAATTAATTTTCCTAAGTCATGATCTCAATTGAGTTTAGTAATTTGATCGTCGGAAAAACATATTTTGAACTGTACAATCCGGTGAACAAAGTCTATTGGTATCATCGAATAGTTAAATCCGCTCTAAGACAAATAATAAACACCCTTGTAGTATGTAGATAAGTCCATGTCCATTTAACCACCTGTAAAACATCAACCAACCGACCGGCCAATTTTGTAGACAAATTAAGTACTACCCATATTAGTTTTGAAATATCATATCGTTCTCTAAACATGCAACAAAAGCAACTTTAATTTTGCATTTTAGTTACCAATTATATTGTGATAAAAGAAAAATGTTATAAGACTCACACTTGATTTTTTCGTTGTTGATATAGGTAATATGGTAAGGTAGTATGGCGATAATCGTTAGGTTCAGATCATGTCCCCTCCATTGAAAAAAACAAGGATATGAATAGTATGAGACCGGTTTATGTTCGGTTATTGTATTTCAGTGGACTGACGACGGTCGGTCGACTTGGACGGTTGGTTTCCGGTGTGTTCAGAAGTAATTTGGTAAAAAAAAAAACTTCTCCGAGTCATTTGCCATAAGAGCATAATATTGTATTAGTTTACTTGGTCCGGGCAAAAAATGGGTAAATCGTTATTGTATTTTTCCGGCTCGGCGGCCGTGCTGGCGGCGATTGTTTACCTGAAGACTTGCCACCGACCGGAAGTCCTACCGGAAGCGATGCCCGAAGACGTGTGGTGGGGACCTAAGTACGACGAACACTTGGACGGAAACACCGATATCCGACCGTTTCGCATTAACATCACCGACGAGGCAAGTACAAGTGTTAATGCACGATCAAATGTTATGTTTAGACATGCTAAACGAAATGCCAGTTGGCAAACAATGTTTACATTTGTTGATACTTGGTCAACTGTAGGTCACCATTGTATAGAAGTTTGAATAGCGATAGTTTGTTAATTTAAAATGTTAAAGATGAAATAACTAATACTACTAAGTAGAAAATAAAATAATTGACAACAACAAAAAAATAAGTCACTCATCTACTATTAAAAATCACTGCACGACCAATCGAGTTTAGAGGTTTGGTGTCAATCTACTTTACTATCTTTTTAGCATTTTTTCCCTTTCAATTTTTTTTTATTTAATCGATAGTACTTTAAATGCTGATAACGAATCTGCTTATGAGCTGCTGTGACGTCAATAATTGTAGGAAAACAATAATGTTGAGATGTCTCAAATGATTAATTAATAGTAGCAGGATTTAAATAATATATTAATATTATTTCAATTATTATTTACTGTTTACTGGTTTTACTGGTTTATCGTATGAGATTACATTATACTTAGTAGAGTGGTTTCACAATTTGAGTTACACACTTGGGTTTGACACGTTAAACGTATGTATTTATTTAAATAACAGGAAACATAGTTAGTTGCAGATTGTTGTAAAAAAAAAAATACAAGCAATAGATTGAGATCTAAATTAAGTGAAACTTGTTTAGTAAATAATTGACGGTGCCTGTTTCATTATTAATTAAAATACAAGAAATTTTTTTTAATAGACAAAACTACTACTATCCTGTTCGTAAAATTAAATGGTTTTTAAAAACAGTATGATTGAAATTTGAGTCTTCAAATAAAAACATCTATTTACTAATCCAATAATTATAATATTTCTTCCACTTTATTGGAATCGTGATAAAGTGGCAGGGCTCTGTTATATATTATAATAGGATAGGATAGAGGGGGAATGAGATAGTGATAAGCGAGGACGAGGCCAAGATGGGGTGATGGTGATATGGAAAAATGGATAATTTTGATTTGATTAAACAGGGAATTAGCTAAAAAGGGAATTCACCTTACACTCCCAACTACACGAGATCTTCTACATCTCGTTCAATCACCCCAGCTATCCTTATATCTCTCTATATTCCATCTATCCATCTTATCTTCGGTCTTCCTCTGTTTCCCTCTACATTCGTCTTCACAACACCTCTCATCGCCTCTGCCTCATCTTTGCTCATAACACGACCGAACCGTCTCAACCTATTCTCTGGAATTTTCCCCACAATTGATGCAACTTCCAGACTCGTCAATCTTAACACTCTCATTTTCTGATACACAGGTAATCGATGATCTCAAGCACAGACTGAGGACGGCCAGGCCGTTTGCCAAACCATTGGAGTCGGTGAACTTCGAGTACGGTTTTAACCACGATTACCTGGCAAAGGTCGTCGACCACTGGCTGAACCGATACGACTGGGCTGCCAGGCAGGCACACATGAATGCTCTGCCACAATTCAAGACCCGCCTGTACGGTCTGGACGTTCATTTTATACACGCCCGGCCGGCGGCCACCGGCAAACACCGTGTGATACCTTTGCTGATAGCCCACGGGTGGCCGGGATCCGTCGTGGAGTTCTACCGGCTCATACCGATGCTGACCAAGCCCAGAGACGGTTTCGACTTCGTGTTCCAAGTGATAGCGCCGTCGCTGCCGGGCTTCGGGTTTTCCGACCCTGCCGTGAGACCGGGCATGGGACCCGCACAAATTGGCCAGATATTCGTGGAACTCATGGACAGACTAGGCCATAAGAAGTTCTACGTCCAAGGCGGCGATTGGGGTGCGGTTATCGTGGAAGCCATGGCCAAACTCTTTCCGGATAGGTAACACGTTCAAAATCAATTTCGAGTACAAACGTCGGGTCCTAAGACCAGGGCCCCCCATTTTAGGGCAGGAGGGGAGACAGGTAGATTCCCCGGAGATTCCAGAGTAACTCATCTGTGTTCCAACATATCCCTGTGTAGCCCAACATGGTAAAAATTGATAAATTGACAAGCAAACGTAGACGAATCCATTATTGGACGTACGTGAGCCGCCGAGTGGAAATTTCCAGGTTTATTACAGAATTGATTGCGATTTGATTGTTTAAAAAGGGTCTCCTCTATTGTTCCCCGAGACGAAAAGACACCTCAGAAAGGAAAACCCTATTCGTCGACCAATCTGCAGCCTGATCTATTCGGTCACACGATTCCCTCGATGACTTGATGACGAATTCGTAACACAAAGAGAAAGAGGGATGGAGGGGGAATGGAATGGGACGGAAAGGGTTTAAGAATGGGCCTATAACTGATCAGGGATGATTGATAAGAAAATTAGCTGATCATAAGACAAAAGAATTCATGATTATTATCCAATGGCTTTCTTGCAAAGGGAAAGATTGAATTTATCGCTCGCTTTTTGAGAATCATTTCATCACTCTCAGTATTTATTTCCGAGATAAGATCCAGGACCTTATCGACCCCACTGTGGGCTGGTTTTTTATATTTTTTATATGTATGTTATATATTATGTATACAAATTACAGGGTATCTGGATTGCATTCTAACATGTGCATGGTTGGTAATCATTTAGATTTATGTGATTTCACGCGATTAGTGTTGGGTTCGTATTGGCCATCGTTAGCTGTCAGCAGTGAAATGGAACAGCAGCGAACATATCCTCTGAGCAAATTGTTTTCGATGACCCTAGAAGAAACCGGTTATATGCACATACAGATGACCAAACCCGACACTGCAGGTGAATACAACAATAGTGATCGTATACTATGATGTTATTTTTCTCGATTAACGATTTAGTTAGAGATAAGAGACACGAGATTAAAGATAAGAGTGATAAGCACAGATATATACATACAAGTATATAATAAACTGGATTGCAAAAGTACATGCCGCCAATAGAGATAATTGAAGTTACCATTTTACGCCATCTTCGTGGCAATTAGAACCTTATCAGATGTAAATATAAGCGTATTTTCGCGGTGCTACCGGAAGCAAATAAGTTCACTGATACGCGCTAAAAATGTCTGGATTTATAAGGATTGTTTGTTGTTCGCTCACCGTCGAAATGATTGTGCATCATCATAGGTGCCAAACATTCCAAACTGTTGGAAAAAGCTTTTTACTGATTAAAACGTCGCCAAAACCGGTTATCAGCGAACCGTTTGTTTTCGGTACCTCCGCGAAAATACGCTTTTTCTTATCACTGGTTAGCAATCTAGTTTATTACATATATGTGTGTTGATAAGAGATAAATGATAAGTGATAAGAGATAACACATCCATGAGGTTTGTTCGTTTTGACAAAAAGTGTACACCAAAGCGTTCGTTTTGAAATAGTGTATTCGTACACGCTGTTTGTTTTAAAAATAGTGTTGTACACTTTATTCACACCGACCGTAGAGTAGGTGTGATACCTAATTTTCGGTGTTGGTCGTTATCATATTTCTTATCAACTAATATTTATAATCAATTCTACTATCAATAGAAATAAATTATCAGTTTGTTTTGAAATACCACACCTGATCACACCCCTTACACTTCATCCAGACACTACACTAATTAGTGTACACTTTTTTTTCAAAACGAACAAAGCTCATATTTACAGGGTGTCATGTAAAGTTCTACCGAGCTTCCAATGATACATTGAGGATTCTCTATGGGTACAATAAATGGTGTTAATTTTTTTTTAATTCTAAAATTATTTAAAATAGAACTCGTATCTCATTAAAAAATTGTCTTACGAAAAAAATGATTTCAGATTTGGAACCGGGATAAAAAATCTTGTTGAATTGATATGTAACATGATTTTTTGGTATCTGGCCACACATACGTCCACAGGGTGGCCACTGAGTGACCGGCATGTGACTAATTTATTGTACCCATTGAGCATCCTGAATGTATTATTAGAAGCTCGGTAGAACTTTACATGACACCCTGTATATATATATATATATGTGGTGATAAGAGATAAATGATAAGTGATAAGAGATAACATATCAAATGATTCAATGTTTTTCCGTGGAGTGAAGAAAACAATTCATTTTTTATTTTTATTTTGCACAGGAGTTGGTTTAAACGAATCACCCGTTGGATTGGCAGCGTGGATTTTAGAAAAATTTTCCATCGGTACCAACTTAAAACACAGACAGATGCCGGACGGCGGGCTTTCCATGTACGACATGGACGATTTGTTGGACAACGTTGTAGTTTACTGGATTTCCGGTTCTATAACTACATCGATGCGATTGTATTCAGAATACGCCAGTGCTAAATACCGGTCCCTTCCGCATAACAAGTAAGTACAGCAGAATAACCCGTATTGAATTTTAATTAAAAAATAACAACTTTCACGATTTCAGAGCTCCAGTCAAGGTGCCAGCGGCTTGCGCTAATTTCCCGCACGAAATAAATGTCACTTTGAGTTTGAAAAGGTTTTTAAAAAAGAAATATACAAAGCTGATCAGAGTCACCGAAATGGCGGACGGTGGGCATTTTGCTGCTTTCGAACGACCCGAATTTCTTTCCAACGACATCTGGACATCTATTAAAGAAATAGAGCAAACTTATTACCTAACCTAACCTTACTAATACCCTCTCGTTATAATATCATATTATGTATGAAGTGTTTAATTTTTAAATCGTACCAGGAACGAATGGGATTTACGTTAAAAATGGGAAAGTTTGATTTTCCTTCCTAAAAATCGAGAAAGAACAAATATTGTTCAAATTTTACAAGTCATGTTCGAAAATAATAATTTATCATATTGATCGTTACAAATAAAATTATTCATACTACAATTTTCAGCAAATTCAACTCATAACGTTTAATACGTTACCGGTTGTAGTATTAATTACACATTACTTAATATTTATTCCTCCAACATTTTTAGTTATAATTTTAGGTTATACAATTTTTAAACACAGAACAACCATCATTGAAATGTAATTGTATATTATAAAACAAAAATATGGTATACTTTTTCTTACTTAAATTTATTTTTGAAGCGCTGCTACTTGGCGGGAAAACGTTGCCAAACATCGGTTTGGGGTCATGTTAATTTTAATTTAATAGAAAACTATTTTTACGATTAACATAAACTTAATGTATTATACTTTGTCTAGTAACTACTAAGGTTTTCAATTTTGAATCATTTCGTTCATGTAATAAATATGCAACTATTACACTGTCTTATAGTCTGTTGTAGCATAATACGTTCAAAGGCGGTGTCACAGAATAAACAGAAGGGAATATTAGAGCTTATAAAAAAAAAAACGGTCAGACAATTGAGAAAAATAGGCAGTGACGCCAGAGCGCAGATATTTCCTTGTTTTTAATTTTTCCTTGACTTTGACTTATGTGGCTACACTGTTCATTTGTTAAACGCCGTACGCCGACAACAATGTCGTCGCCGTTTCCCGCGTTTGTCCAGTGAACAGTTTAGCCAGAATGAACGAAAAATGAGAAATTCCCTACACCTATCAGCACTGATTTCCCTCATCCCATAAGAGTTGCCCATGTAAAAACTGAATACTTTCTCTTCTGCTTATTCTGTGGCTGGTGTAAGCAATAATGGTTTTTGCCTCGTCTTGTGATAAATTCGATACTAAAACTTTACACCTCCGCATCCAGTTCTGACATTTGGGTAACGGCTAATGTCCATTCCTATCCCAAAACACAACTCCACTTCAGCCGCCTTTCGTCGGCATTATGTAAGACTGTGGAACACATAATTAAGAACCCATTGGACTGGTTTATCGAATCTTCCCATACGGCTATTAATTCCCCCAACAATTCTCTCTCTCTCTCTCTCTCTTATCCAACTCTCTTGTTTCATCATCGTTTGATCCCCGCGCCTGATAAAAGTCAATTAATGATCTTTACCAGAAAACGCATCCCTCTAGACCTGCCTCCTATTCGTCTCGAGGGACTATCATTCCTCCCTCCGATAATATCACCTACTTGGGGCTTAAGTTGGACCTCAGATGGGTACCTCAGTTTAACCATCTACTTTTCCATTCACTTCCCGTTGGGCTAACTTCCTCCGTTCCTTTACTTCTTGTTTATAATTCCGTCATTCGTTCAAAAATAGATTATGGCTCCTTTTTATTTGTCTCTGCTTCTCACGCTCGTAGAAATAAATTAAACTCCATTCTCGCCTCCTGCCCACGTAGTATCATAGGTGCCTTGAAATCCATCGCCAATTCTAGCTTATTTGTAGAATGCTCCTCCCCCCCTGTCGAAATCCGCTGCCGGGAGCTCGCTGGAGAGTTTCTACTTAAATCCCTCTCTTCTCCTAATTCCCCAATTTATAATCTCTTCGCAGGTATAAAATCTTCCTGGCGTTACGTTCCCAAATCTCTCCCTATTTTAGCCTCGGTTTTGCCACTCTCTCTCTCTCTCTCTCTCCTATTGTCGCCCTTGTATATAAATCGCATTCGAGACTACCCTTATATGATTGCCCATTTAATTACCTCGCTCTTAAACCCACCGTTCTCGGCCTCCACGTTAAAACCCTTCGTTCTCTCCCCCCTTCCGCAGTCAACAATCTCTTTTCCGGTTATATCTCCTCTTCGTTTCCCAATACATGTTCGGTATCAGTCAATTCGGCAGGCTGTTCTGGTTCTCTTTCACGCCTTCAAGCTGTACCATCCTTTCCGTTCAATTCTCGTCTTTCCCCTTTTATCCTAATCATCAGAGATCATTAATCTCTTCAATCCACTCCAGTTCGTTTCCACATTGGGTCCCAGGTCACGTTGGTATATGCGAGGTTGTTGACCTCCCGCTAATTCCACTTCATTCCACTAATCCACCTTTCCTTTCTAAAGAGCTCTGGCTTTTCAGTTTAATTTAAGTCGATATTGATTTCATTTAGTTTTGCACACTCTCTGGTTGTTTTTGGTTTTTTTATCTATCATTTTATATTTATCGTTTAAAATCATGTTATTACTAATAATGTAACCTTACGTTTACTCTTTAGTACTGTTTAATTGCTGAGCCAAATATTTTTTATTAATAAAGGCTATGTACAAAAAAAAAGGAAGTAGTTTGGAAAATAACAAGACAATATCTTTGTGCGCAAATCTTGTGTAAATATCGTATTTGAACCGATAAAATCGTCGACGTTTGATGATTTTTATCGCCTTCGAATTTTTTTTTACATGGAATGTAATACTTGTTTTATGAATATTTATCGAAGGAAGTCAACAAAAAAATGTACCTACACATTTATTATGTGCACAATTGACATTTTTAGTAGAAAAATGTTTACCAAAAAAATTGCACATAGAAAAACACCAAATTTCCACATAGTAGACTTTGGTTGATTTCCAACCACAGCTTAGCGGACATCCAGTGAAGACTGAGACTAAGTAATAGTAAAACACATCCAACCGAGATGGTAAGTCAATTTTTTTTTATATATTTTGTAAAGTTTACTAATTTATATATTTTCCATTTGAAATTTAACCGGTAAGTCAATTTCTTTTCATCGCAAGTTTACAGAATTGGTATACATAATCAACAGTTACAGTATATGTTATGGTGTTTAAAAAAAAAATTATATTATAGAGAACTATTTAAACCACTATGTGATTAGGTCCAAATCAAGTATAAAGACTATGTCAAAATAAAAACACCGTACAAATGGTAAATTTTAAACGGCTATTATTAAAAAAAAAGCTAATTTAAAATTGTAAAATGTGAATATTTTTAGTGGTTTTTCTCTTGTTTATAGAAGTCTTATTGACTCATACGGTTTTGAAAATATTTTTGATCCACTCAAATAAGATATTATTGAAATAACCAAACATTGTTTTAGCGTCTCAGTTGAACTTGGCAGATATTTTAATATTTATTACTTTTCCAGATAAAAATGAACATTTTATATATTTTACTACCATTCGCTTTGGCCAATGTGTCGGTAGCTTTAGGTGATTGTTTTATAATATTAAAACGTACACGAGACTAAAATTCTGTAAAAAAAAAAAAACCTCAAAATTTAACTTGTTTTACAGATGATTACATAAGGCAGGTTATCATGACAAGTCAGTATACATTTTTTTTTCATACAAAATAATTTTTGATATTTATGTATGTCATTTTTTTACAGCCGATCAGATGTATATTGCAAGAGGTAAAATATATATTAATTAATTAATTTTAATTAGAATTCACTTATAATTTATTACTATAGGCAGTGATTATTTTACATAACAAGATGAGTAATGTTAGAGGTGAAATGGTAACCGCTTAACACACGGTATACACTTCATCTGCAGGCTTATATCGATTAAGATTATATCTGAAACTTGACTTTTTTTTATTTCCAAACACATCTGTTGTTTAAATACTTTCTGTATTTTTTTTTTATAGCTAAACCTATAATTCGTTTATTCCAGATTTTATGCCGTATTTCATTCAAGATGTCGTCCTTACTGGAGGCTTTAATCAGGGTAATCATACATGTATATAATATATACTAAATAAAACAATAACAATGAAAACGGTTTAAGTTGAAATATATATGACATTAATTGCAACAAATTATTATCAAACAAATTCATCGGTAATGTTCAATCTTAAATTTTACTTTATTTATTTTGTGTTATTTTCAGTGGAATTAGCTTTATTGTTTTCTGTACCGGGTAATAAACTTCTCAGCACATAATTATGGAACTATTGGTTGATTGATTCGTCGAGTAAAAAATGTTTTTATTTTAATTTCAGAAGTCGACGATGAAGTCATAAAAGAGCACATATTGAAAAGTAAATGTTTAGTAGTCAACCACTGTATAGAAAGGGTGTTCCAGCATGAAATGTTAACTGTAATAGGTGATTGGACATATGGGAGACCCCCAAATAAGCTCCCCGTTTTCATTTTTCGATAAGTAAACAATTGAAGGTTTCGATAAGTAAGTAAAAAAATAATGACCTAAAAAAACAAAAAATTGTTCCATGTTATTCAGTACAAAAAGCTCACCTTAAAAGAGGGATCACATCATTTTCAGTCTTTTTCAGCCCCTAACTCTTCTCTTATCACTTATCTTATCATTCATTTCCTTCTTCTAGTCTCTAATCATTTATATCTTATCATTTATTTATTATCTCTCGTTTCTAATTATTTACCTTTAATATCTTATCATTTATCTCTAATCTCTCATAATTTATCTCTTATCAACTATGTCTTAGCATTTATCTTCTATCACTTATCATTTATTTCTGGTCTTTAATCATTTCTCTCTTATCATTTTTTGAGTTAGGGGCCGAAAGGGACTGAAAATTATGTGACCCCTCTTTTAAGGTGTGCTTTTTGCACTGAATAACAGTCATTATTTTTTTACTTAACCGTCGAAATCTTCAATTTTTTACTTATCGAAAAAATGAAAACGGGGGGCTAATTTGGGGGTCATGCAGATGTCCAATCACCTATTACTTACCTTTCATGCTGGAACGCCCTGTATATGTATTGGGGGAATTATAGAGTTACATATTATTGATTTCTATACCTACCCAACCGATGATAATTGAAAATTGTTTTGTTTTAATTAATTTTAGAGAACACAGACTACCAAAAAATGTTGGAAGATTTTGCTTTACTTTCACTGGACGGCGATAATCGCCTAAAAGATTACATATATCAAAGTGAGCATAGAGCATAGTAAATTATTCAATGTACTGACAATAACCATAGAGTTACAAGTTGATTTCTATTATTAATAAATGATATAGATTACAATTGATTTTGTTTTAAATTTTCAGAGAAGATAGAGTACCAAAAAAATGTGCAAAAAAAATTACTGAAATCCATATGTAAGTACAGAAATTCAACTATTTTATACAATTTATTATTGGATTTTATTATCATGTAGAGTAGGTATCCAACAGTAACAAATGGTGAATTCAGTGATCTAGTACATCAAAGAATACATTTATCACTCTGTTCTCGAAGTACAATTGTAGCTGTTGATTAAAGTTTTTATTTATATATACAAAAAATGATAATTTATGTATTCTCAATACAGTTGTATTTAATTTAGAGAAAGAAAATTGTTATAAGGGTTGATTCCATTAAAATATCAAAGTTTATCTTTTTTGTACAATCGTTAAATTCTATTATCATATAGTTCTAAATAAAAACTATACATGCAAGTTCAAAGACATATATTCCTATATTATTTTATTTAATGTATCGATTACCCAAGTTGAAAACCTAAGTAGAATCGTTAATAGTTCAAACATGGCTACTAGAAGTGTATATTTCATACTCTTTGTTTATATAATCTCAATTATACGATGACAGTTATAGATGAAAAATAAAAAATGTTTTATATTTTGCTCACAGCACCGCCTGCGGCTGAAATACCAAAAGGTAATTATTGTGCATTTATGAATTTTTAAAGAGTTGTAGGTCTTTCTAATATGAGTGTCCTGGTGATATGTTTTAAGAGAAGAGGGAGCACCCCGTTTTCCAGAGTTTTTCTCTCTTACAACTCTCTAAGAGTGTTATTACTAAGATAAGTTCAAAAACGGGAAATGAAGAAAAAAAGTTATTCGAAAAATATTTTTAAATAAACAAATTTGAATCTTATTCGAAGACGTTTAAAATGAATTCGCAATATGTTTATATTTTCAGGAAAAACTGATAGTTTTTTTTTCTCAAAATCTAATGCAACTAATTATTTTGATTTATTTTATTTAGGCTGTTTCGAAGACGCTACTCTAGAACAACTGGGATATAGAAGAAGATCTAGAACTTCGGCAGCTATAAGACTTGCAGTGCGAGAAGTATTAAGTATGTATATTTTGTATAATCTCATCTGGCGTACAATTAAAACTACCTTCTCGACGATTATATTATAACCGTGTTGTACAAACAACGAAGAAAAGCAGTATAAAATGAGCCAAGTATGGTTAATTTTTTTTTTTTTTTAGCTGGAGTTACTATAAAATTCAAGGAATATTCTGATTTGTGTACTCTAATAGGAGTGTACAAAAGTATTGTGGGTTGGGACGAATTTATAGTGGCCGCTGATATCGATGAACATGACGAAAGAATTTGTTGTCTAGTAAATATAAAAGGAGACAGTATCAAATACTATAAAGTCGACGGCAAAATTTGGTACGACTACAAAGGTCCATCGCAAGAGTTACTTCTCGATCAAGCGACAAAGTATATATAAAGTATTTTCTAAGTTCAATAAATCGTTCGATTGTCGAAAATTATCATAAAAAAAAAAAAGCATTTTTTCCTTATAAATTGCCCATATAAAACTCCTTGAACAATACTCTTGCTTTCAAAGAGTATTGTAAACCTGGCACATTATATCAATAGGAAACCTAAATTTGAGCCTCTGGTTTATGAGGAGTTTTGTACACGTTAGAAAGTTATCGTTCTACTGGTAAAAAATGGTTTTCAGTTACAAAAAAATATATATTATGTATATAGCTAACGATATTTGATTTTTGTATACAGTGTGTCCCATTTTAAAATACTAATCGAGTTTTCTACCGAAATACTAATCCAATCGAAAAGTTGCTTATTAGAGAGACTTTTAGAGCACAAATGGGGACGTTATAAAAATGTTAAAAATAAGGTCCAAAATTCAAAATGGCCGACTTACGGTGAAAAACACGGTTTTTGTTTTGTAATGGAAACCATGTAATTTGCATGTTGACCAAACAAAATATGTTCTCATCAAAATCAACAACTTTTGTAGGAAAATGTTTTCGGTAAAACCCATAGTTTGTAAATTAAGTATCTTAAGCTATTTTCAGTTTTGTTATTTTAGTTTGATGCATATGGTTACCTTGGTATGTGTGGTAACCTTGGTTTTAGCCCATTAATGAAATTGTCGCTAATCATTTTAGTTGTTTTTTTTTTTTTTGCTTACAGCATACTTATTATCTTACAAAAATACTTACACGGTACCTAAAAAAATAAAACAAAATTTACAAAATAAATACTTTCTACGCAATAATCCTTGTTTAAGTTTTTTTGGATTTAGCATAAACATTGAAATTTTGCATGCGACAGTAAAATTCTAATCCAACTGGCTTTCATTGGCCGAGCAAGTACCATTTTCAAACGAAATTGGATCTAAGATTGTTAATTTGTTTATATATATATATATATATTTGAAGCTATAATTTAAATATAATCAAGACGTACATAACTTGTTGACTTCACTCATTCAGAATGACGCTTGTACAATTGAGAAGTACCTTCATATTTTACACAACTAATGACCTGGTCTTTTTTTTCCTCCGCACAAGTTGTGTTTTAATACATTTAGTAGATTTATTATTTTCCATACTTTATATATAAAGTGCTAAAACAAAGCATATATATATATTTATAAACAATTTAATAATTGGTATTACCATAAGAGCTGTACCTCTATTTATAAATGAAGTTAACAACACACAATATTCCTTTAACAAATATAATTATCAATTAATGTATCCATTCTTATAAATATTTGATTATACCTAAAAGTAATTTATATCATTATCATTAGTCCCAATTATTTTTTACACATTGTTACTGTTTTATTAATGTGAATAAACATTATAATAAGTTACTTTTTTTTTTATGTTAACATATATTATATTTTACTATTTATTAAGCGACTTCACATTATTTCACTTCGATACAAAACGAATCTGTTCTTTACTTTTAAGCACGATCATAAACAAAAATATACAATATTTTTAAAAGTCTTAAGTATACCTTTAAAACATATTTTAGCATTACTTAAACGTGTTTTTTGTAAGAAGAAGTGTTTGGTGTATCTGTATGAAACTAAACAATAAATTTTAGCTTTTTTATTTGCAACAATAGTACACACAATTCATTGGCCAAACATTTTCGCAAATAATGAACACAACAACAATGTAGTAAACTGCCTTCACCTACCAAATGAGACAAACGATTTTGTGCAGCACATATGTATATTATGTAAGCAATTGCACTGTTGCTCTAGTATAGTATTCTATAGGTACCTTCTTAGTGTGTGAAATCGAAAAATTAAGAAATTCCATTTAGCATTTTATGCTAAATACATATTCAAGGTACACATTTAAAAATATGAATTTAAAAAACGTTATTCTCATTATAACGGCTGTGATATCTATGTCTAAAGGTACGTACATAAAAACATTCATAGCATACAAATGTATAAGCTTTTGTATATACACAGAAGAATCTAACTAAAATTAAAACAATCCAAATGTCTATTTATATTTCACCCCTTACGACAAAAAGATAAGGGCGCGGGTCGTTGAGCTTATTTATTACTATTTTAAGTGTAGTGTATTATATTATAACTTGTATTATACATTTTAGCTAAAATTTCTATGCGTTGTACAAAGCTAAAAATTACCTTACATTTAATACATTATATATGACAAATACCAGTGAGAGATTCGTCCTATTATCCTGTTCGTTGTTTTACATTACATTTTTTTAAGATTAAAGTCATTATACAGATTGCCTACGCGCAATAAAAAATATCATGATTTGTTGTTTACTGAAAACAAGTTGTTTTTTTCAAACGTATTCTGTTTAGTAAATACACGTTTAAACGTGAGTTGTAAAACGGAATCAATAGTTGTCTTTAAAAAAGAAATATATATATATAATTATTGATACATCAAGATGCTACCGTGCAAGAAATACAATAGGTGAAACATGTAAATGACAATAACAACTGCAAAACAAAATATGTTAAGTAAAACCATAAAAATTGTTTTTTGTAAAATTCTTGAAATATACAAAGCTTGTGGTACCTATAGCAACAGCTTACCGTTTGTTTACAACTGTTGTAGTCAAATTTAGTTTTCATACATTAGGTTCTTAAAAACTGTGGCAAAAAAAAAAAAAAAATGTAATGGGTATTTGGGTTAATGATATTTTCCGGGTTCCAGACTGTGTGCATAGTTAATTAGAACTGTTCTAATCATTTTTTGCACAGCAATATCACTGCACGCTGTATTCGATTTAGAGTAGTGGATTATAGATAATGATATAATGTATTTTAAGAAGCAGTAGTTTCTGGCTAATATTGTAGTGTTTAATATATCTGGCTTAAGACAATTCATTAGAGAATTTGGGACCTTAAACTATTTTGAATTTACCATTTTGTTCAAATTTGAACGTTGAACGTACAACATATCTCAAAAACATTTACTATACAAATATAACAACAATGAGTTTTGTTAAAATAAAATGCTTTTCCATATGAGTAAAATATTTTTAGTATGATGTGATTATTTTTTTTTTTGAAAAATAAATTCAAACTACGTATACCCATTAAGTTATTTATATTATATAAATCTATGATCATTGGCAAAATTATATAATTTTCTTTATCCAGTAATAAAATGATTTTATATATAACATATGCGTGAAACATATATATGGCTACCTATAATAAATCTAAACGCTTTTGTATTAAAATTTAAAATATATAATATTTATACACAAGGATAAAAAAAAAATACTAAGTAATTTTTTTATTTCAATATTTCAGGTCACCCGGGAGTTAGTAAGTATTAATGGATAATATCAGTTTAATATGTGCTTTACCAAATATATTAACAGTTTTAAAATTATTTTCAATAAAGCTTAAAATAAATGCTATAAATGCCTTAAATTGTCGAAAATAAGAATATACGTTTGCCAAGTTCATGCATATATTGTATAATTTTCTATGTCCTGTTATGATATTATTTTGAGAATATTACATGTGGCTATAATCGAATTAAACGGTTTTGATAAAATTAAAATACATAATTTATACTACACAAGTTTACAAAAAAATATTTAAGTAATTTTTTTTTTTTCAATATTTCAGGTGACAAGGGGGGTAAACGTAAGTTAACGGATAATATCAGTGTTTGATATCAGCGCTTTACCAAATATACTAGCAGTTTTAAAGTTATTTTCAATAAAGCTTAAAATGCGTATAACATGCTATAATGCTTTAATTGTCGAAACGGTTTTGGATAAAAAAAAATTGTAAAATTTAATACAAAATAATATATATATATATGTATACTTAAGTAATTTTTTCTCGATTTTTCAGCTCCGATAGCGCGACCACCACTACCCACTACCACCACTACCACCACTACCACCACGACCACCAGTGCATCCAGGACCACCAACAGGACCCCCGGGACAAGGTCCACCACCAACAGGTCCTCCGGGACAAGGTCCACAACAACTACTGCCACCAGGACATCGAGGACCACGACCAACACGGCCTCCAGGACCACCACCACCCACCACCAGTACATCCAGGACTACAACCACCACCTCCACCAACAACATGAACTGCCCGCCTGGTAAGTTTTTGCAATTTTATAAAACTCGTACAGGGTGTTCCAGCATGAAAGGTTAGTAATAGGTGATTGGACATCTGGGGGACTCCCAAATGAGCTCCCCGTTTTCATTTTTTCGATAAGTCGAAAATTGAAGGTTTCGACGGTTAAGTAAAAAAAAAAATGACCTAAAAAAATCATAGCGACACCGCTTATCATAACGAGAAATAACAGCCGATTTATCTGCTCAGACAAGAGATGAGGTTTTTACTTTGGAACACAAACGGAAAAATTCGACACAGACACCGGTTATCATAACGAAAAATAACAGCTGATTTATCTGATAAGATAAGATATAGGGGGTGAGAGTTAGAGATGAAGGATGGGGTTGGGGGTGGTTATCAGGATGAGGGTTGAAATTGGGATGAGGATGGGGAGGGGATGTTAAATTTTTTTAATTATGTGTTGTTTTCACGACGAACAAACTTAAATTCATGGTTAATGAACTGATTTAAAATAACTAGCCAAGTGAACGTTTTGCCAACAAATCGATTAAGGCCAATTATTAAAAAACTACTAAAAAGCTTTTGGCCACAACATAAAATTAATCATCGCCTACCATTCGAGTACCGTGGTTACCATTGTCACAAGCCAAGTGTTTGTTTTGGGTTAGCAACGAAAAATATTTCGAATGGTATCGAGGCGCGAAAAAAAGGAGCGGACGCAGAACGAGACATAAAAATGTATCCCGTGGTGTTGCGGACTCGTACGCCAGCTGTTTAGTCTAGAAAACAAAAAAAAAAAAATCACAAGGGCTAAGTCTGGTGATAGGGGGTGGGAGATAGTGGGTAGGGGATAGGGAGAGATAAGAGATTTTTCACTGATTAACAAGGCATAATTTTTTTTTTTTTTAAGTCGTTATTTTTTTACTTAACTGTTCAAATCTTCAATTTTTTACTTATCGAAAAAATGAAAACGGGGGGCTTATTTGAGGGTCCCACAGATGTCCAGTCACCTATTACTTACCTTCCACGCTGGAACACCCTGTATAGGTTATAAGAGTGTAATTGAAATAGCAGTTTTATCATTTGTTTTTCAAACGACTGTAAGTTGGTTGATAATAATATAAGTTTTTGTGACTTACAAACAACATGCGAGCAGTTTTTTAATTATTTTCAACAATGCGCTGAAAATGTTTAATTATTATATATACTTAAAATGTTTTTTTTTAACCGACTATTTTACACATATAATAGTTTGATATTTTAAAATCACAATTATTTCGAAATTTAAACAATGGATACAACCAGTAAATCCTAAGATTTTATTTAAAATGGAAACGCCTTGTACTTGGTAATTTATCAAGGAGCCTGACTTAATTTTAATTTAAATTCATGTACAGAACGGCAGTATCCAAGATCCGTGACGCATTATGAAAATTCATCTGCTTACTAATATGTGTATATTGTAAAATGTTCATCTTTGTTTATCATAATATTGTGTTTCAAACTTCAGATTTCTCTAATAACAATGTATTACAAATAACATATATTTTATTAGCTATCATACAAATGATATTATGTATATTACATACACCTGTCTACCAATAAAAATAATATTCACAGAATAAGTAAACTCGTGTTTCATTGTCTAATCTATTCAAAAATTTTGTTCTTACTTCTACTCCCTCCTCTTATTTGTATTCTTTATTATAAAATGTCTATGGAAAAGCGGTAAACAGTGTCAATTGTTTACATTTATAAGTTATAACAAATATGGATGTACAATGTATAATTAATTTTGATTATTTACTATTTATATATTTTTTTAAACATGGTTAAAGTACACTCAATTAGAATTTCAACTGTGCAGGTTTCATGTATATACCACTATCGGCGGTTAAATTACAGAGCCGGGAACATGAGGTGTTTTTGGATAATTTTTTTTTTTAAATTGACCTACCTAGGTCCAAAAAAGACAATTTTCTCACACACAATGTGCCTGAACCAACTTAAAATGAACTTAAAATCATTCTAAATTTTTGTTTCATCAATAGAACCGTTTTCGAATAAACTGTTTTTTTAAAAATAAAATGTGTGCTTGAACCACATCGGTCAGAAATACACTTATCGTATACCGATCGATGAGGTTAGTCATCATCGTCGTCGTCAAAGTTTTTCAATTACTGTCAAGTGTTTATAAATAACAATGTAGTGTAAGTGAAAAAACTCTATCGACTCGATGTCATTGAAAAAAAAAAAAAAACTAGAAAAATTATATTTTTTTTCTAAAAACTTAAGTTTAAAACTCACAACTAAAAATAATAAATTGCTAACAAGTAAAAATGAATTAGATACTAATCATTTTATCAAGTTTCTTAATACTATATAAAAAAAAATTATAATAACACGTGGCAGTAATTCGAATGATTTTTAGAAACATAAAATAACGGTTTGTACGTCGTTACGTTTGCGAATCATACGAGTCTTCCATTTGTAACTTTTCGTCGAGTATCGAGAGCAAGTTGTACACGTTGGGAGCCTCAGTTTGAAGTATGTCCATCGGGTGCTTGAAATTTAAATGAGAATATACTTAGAATTAAAAATGTTTAATCGGATTGGGTTGTTATTTTAAAATCTGAGCGATTTATCAGAACAATTCCATTAGTCGCTCTCGCTCACCTTGTTCGCGTTTCCGATTTTCATGAAATACGGCGCCAAGGCAATGTGTTTTTCCAAATGAAAACACAAGTTCAAATTGACCATTCTCAAGTCTTTTTCGATTTCGCACTCGTTCAAGTTGCTGAACAAAAATCCTTCTTTGCGTTTGTCAAACAACTATGGAAAACACAGAACGCACGGCGATCACGTTACGAATCAAATCAATTTTAATCGATAAAAACTAAAGGACAATCGTGTGTTGAATACCTTTCCGAGACGTAGAGCGTTGTACAAATCGGCCATGTACAACTCGAATCTGCGTAGAGTCTTTTCGATCCACGCGGTTTCGCTTATTTCCGCTATCCTGTCGGTGTCGTAATTGATATGCCTAAAAAACATACGTAAATACAGACGACGTCGAGTTCTATTACGTATCGTCCGCGGTGGCCACAAACCTCAACATGAGTTTGGCCAGTCTGTCCAACCAGCATAGATTGATCGACATAAGTCCGTTGTAGAACACATTGGGCGGCATGATGGTCCAAAACGGCCAAACCGCGGGTTCGAGGTTTTCCAAAACCGATACCTTTTCGAAAAACGTATAGACCGTGTGCTTGAGTTGTTCGTCTTCGGGATAATGGTAGACACACATGGAACAACAGTGCGACACGTACTCTATTAGACTTTTGACTATTTCAAACTCGGTCGTTTCTCTTAATTTCGGTCCGAACAATTTGCATTCGCAAACGGTTTTGGTTTGTCTCGCGTTTAAATGCTTTAAGGTAAAACATAATTATAGTAAAACACCAAATACCTAACTCGTAAATAAAAAACTTACCAAGTTACAGACCAGGTTGGTCAACGAAGTTATAATCATTTTGTACATTATCTCGTCGCCGGAAATAAACAAAGCGTGTAGTTTTTCCAAAAACCTTATCTTCAGTTCTGTGTGTAATTATTAAAAAATTAATGAATAATAATTTGGCCACACCGAAAAAAAATATCGAATTAATACCTTCTTCCGACGTGAACGACAAATACTCAAAGAGTTCGTAGACGATTCGAACGTACTGTATGCCGTCCCACGACAGCAGATATTGGAAAATGAATCCGTTCACTGCCGCCAAGCCGCGATGAGCGAATTTTTGAAATTGCAAAATATCGTACAGAAACTTCTTTTTCTTCGGCTCCGGCCAATTCAGTTCGTTTTTCAAAACTAACCGGAACACATAAATAATATTAGTCTTTGAACATTAAAAAGTACATATATAAGCCACGGTTTTACTTTGGTCGAGCGTGTGAGCCAAATTGTTTGAAAATCTCTGTTGTAGGTTCAATTGTTCGTCGGTGTTCATCAGTAGTTTGCACCAGCCGCTGATATTGTTCAAATGCAACAAACTGTTGTTGGAAATACTCGGTCTCATATAAGCTTTTGCTAAATCTTTAGCGCTGAAATACAATCGAAATTATTTTGATTTCACCCCCAAACTTTGATAGTTACACAACATAATCGTCGTAGTTTTATTAACTATTAGATTGGTTTTTTTTTTTTTTTAGTATGTCGCATAAGAAACCAATATCAAAGTAGTTTTTTTTTCCTTTACCTGGGCAAAACGAATTTAGGTTTTTCGTTGTTAATATGGATTTTACTAAACGAAACGCCGTCGAAATTTTGTCTTCTCTGTAAAAAAATAAACTAACAATATTAATCCACGTGAATACACACACAGAGGTCGAGCATCATTTACGAATTCTGTAAGTTGCCGAGAATAGGTCGACGCATGCGGGTACGCGATTTCTTTGCGGACGCTGCGTAGTCCAAACGCCAGTTCCGTATAGTACTTTGTCTTGTTGTCGAAAAGGCCTTTGCAACGAGTTTCTTGAACTGTACTTAAACTTTCGAATAAACTAAAAAAAAAAAAAGGAAAACAAAATACAAATTACACGACGTTTATTTTCAACAAACGCCAACAATGCATTTTACGCTAGCAATTTATCGATGTGCGGTTGATTCTTGTGCACGTGCTTGTGGATTTTGCATCGCGTAATCATCCATTTTTGTACGTCTTCGGGTTTGGTCAGACAATAAACGATACCGGCAACCGGTTGACACTACGGAAAGGAGCGTAACGCTTCGTTAATTACCAGGCTAATTACGACGGGTTGATGGGTACTTACTAGATTTCCAATATTGCAGAGCATGAAAAGAAAATTATAATATTTATCGATGGCGTCTAAATTTGTTAACTTTTCTTCGACTACGTCTGAAAAATAAAATCGACATTGAACTACAGACGTCATAATATTATGAGTTATACAATAATATACATACACAGGAGCCAATTAAAAAAATAATGAACTTTTTTACATTCAATATCATTTTTTCGGTACACCGATAAACTCCAAATTATAAGGTCCTCGCATAGTTTAGACGGTATCGTAGGTTCTTCTGGTACGAATACTAAGAGAAATTGTTTGAAGTTGAATAAATCTAGAACATTACAATGTCGTAAAATGTAAACACACAGTTTGTTCAAACAACTTTATGAGAAATAAAGGCACATCACTAGGTATTGTAGGTATTACTTACTCAAATCGACAGTACAAAGCAATTTACATATAATAGTCATTTCTTCATCGTTTAAACCATTGTGTTGGACAACATCTTTAAACTCAAACTTAAAGTAATTAGTAAACGCTGCATTCTTGGACAACTTTTTTCTCTCTAAAAACAAATAAATAAAATATTATAACACCTATGTTTCTATTTAGGCATTAAGAGGTTTCACTGTATGAATACTTTTACTGTAAACAGTTTTATATTAGAAAAAAAATACTTTATTGTTCAGTACACGTCGATTAAAATTTTCAAGTATTTATTTTCATACGACCATAATAGTTTTGAATTTAAACTACAATTGGATAGTTTAATTATTGTCGTTACAAAACATAAAGCTTACCAATGCTCTGAGACAATTCATCGAAAAACTTATTTCGGTCATAGAAGTAATCCAGGGCATCCTCCATTTTATGACAATTGCAAAACCAACTTTATGTGCACAACATATATTATATGAATTATTAAGAGCTGAGGCCGCCGAATGGACCTGGACTTCCTGGAGTGAAGGAACCTGGATCGTAACCCTAAAGGATAATGCAAACAAAACAAGTGTGTGAAACCAGCAACACAGAAACAAAGTACAAACAGAAAAAAGAAACTATAATTATTAATTAACAATATTTATATATATTATATTATTATAAATTATTATCAGATACATTATCACAACGAATTCCCTCCAAAATAACGAACATTGGCTCGTATCAATTTCCACAACTGCAACAGTTGGCAGCCTGCTGTAACACCAGGCTGCCAACTGTTGATGTCGTTGAAGACACAGAATACGGTCGAGTTGATGGCTTGACCACGGTAACGTTGATTTTTTTATTGAAAATTGTTTTTAAAAAATAAAACCTACACAATTTCCACGTTGCATCTAATGCAATCTGGCAAAGAGTGCACGCTGCAACTCGTGTTATTCAAAAGAAATAGTAACTAATTAGAAACTAAGATACAGATCCAGTAATAATTATCATAAATCGTGGCTGTAGCGTTGATTTTAGAATATATTAGAAAAAAAAATCGTAGGTGTAATATATAGTAATCTGAAATCATTCTTTATATTATAATATTATTCTTAAATCAATGGTTTTAGTTTAAAATTTTGGTCGCTAGAGGCCATATTTTGTACAGGATTTTCAAATCTCTCGAACGCCGCCTGCGTAACCGCAGTGGTAACCGCCCGACGACCATTCGTTACCCGGTCACCGGTATCACAATCGCTTGTTTACAATTTTGTAAGTTGCGAAATCTCCCACTTTTTTGTGTAACAAAAACTGTATGGTGTGTGTACTGTGTACATAATCATTGAATATCTTGTGGTTAGTTTTGATGTTGAAACGCTCACATTTTTGTTTTTGACTAATTTTTTTTTTGAATTTAACTTATTATATTTTTGAAGTGTTATTTTAAAGTTTCATGTTGTTATATTTGATCATTCGTGAACTTGTTATCCGTCGATCGCCGATTTATTAGCGAAAATCAACACACAGTGAAACAGTATATTTTTTTACAGAGCGCCAATGTTATCATCGTCCTGATCGACTGATGTAGAAATGGGAATTTGTGTGAAAAATTAAAAAAAAAAAATTACACAACACCACACCGGTAATACCGCCCACTGCGTTTTTCCCTCGACATAATACTCATTGATCTCTATTTAAAACACTACTAGACCTCACTTAGTTGGTCATTTAAAATGAGTTACGGCGATTCAGAAGCAAAAATGAACCTCTCCGCGCTGCAACGAGTCGACCCGTACGTGGATAGCATTGTGCAAACGGCTGGACACGTTGCACTGTATTCGTTTAACGCCGATGTAAATGCGTGGCAAAAAACCAATATCGAGGGCACGCTACACGTTTACAGCAGATCGGCCGAACCTTTTCACAGTCTAATGATAATGAACAGATTGAATACGAATAACTTGACAGAGCCAATTGAAAACGGACTGGATCTTCAACTTCAGGAACCGTTTTTGTTGTACAGAAACTCTAATAATTCGATTTACGGCGTTTGGTTTTATGACAAACAAGATTGTACCAAAATATCTACGCTGCTAAAAACACTAGTAAAGAATTTGGCCGAGAAACAAAATGAAAAATCCACTAAAAAAGAAACGGGTTCTGCAAAAAGTATCGATCTCGTTTCGATGCTGAGCAGAGCTCAAGAAGATTATAGGTGAGACATTTAATATAATATTGTAACTGCTTTACCTACATAATATTATGTTAATATATTTCTCTGTATTAGCTATTAATTGTGATACCGAGTGACCAAATTTAACTTAGCCATGATAAAGTTGTTACCTATAGTGGCCACTACCTTTGCTGCTGCTGCGCTACACAACAATGACATTTGTTTTTATCAATTTCAGGGCTAACAAGACCAGTACCAAAGGAACTGTAACGCCGACCAAAAAAATCGAGGAAAGCGCTCCCCCTCAGTGCGTGATGGACTTCTTTGCCAAGGCGGGAAGCGGGAAAAATTTTTCCGAAGGATTACCGTCGTTGTCGAATTACGCGAGTACCCAAACGCCCGCGTTAAAAGTCGGGTCAAAGGAAAACCTCATGCACAAGCTAATGGCCAGCCCGATCCACACTGTGGAACAGATCGAAATGCAACAGCGATCGGTAACGCCCAGGGCGGACGTTCCGGTAGCCGTATCGCCGGCCGCCGAGCGTGCCAAGCCAGTGAACCAATGTCTGTTCAGCAATCCAAAGCCTCGGACTTCCTCGAATCAATCTACGACCCCCCAACAGCAAGAGGACAGCAATGGACACGTTCACCGTAGTAACGGATATCATAAAACTAAAGAAAGTCATTATAGCGCGTCGCTAATTGAACAGTTTCTCAATGCCAATGAATCCTCTATTGACAAATCTGACACGGCAATGGGTAAATATTATTGCTACTGTGTTTTTAATTCTAATTACCAAAACAGCTGTTGGCAAATATTTTAAATGAAAAAATCCATATTTTATCGTTTTTCCCAGGTTCGACGTCCTCGATAAGTAAGATAGTAGAATCGCATAGGAACACGATCGAGTCGGATGAACTAATGCCGCCCACCAGATTCATCATGGACGATTTCGAAGACGAACTCGTCACGTCTTCCGTTAACGCGATGACGCTGAACGAACCCAAACTGCGGCGGCGGCGTCCAAACTCGAACCCTTGACGAAAAATCAGTTGCTGCAGGCTTTCGATTACTTGTTGAAAAACGATCCGGATTTTATGGTGAAAATACACGAAGCCTACGTCAAATCGTTGTTAAGAAATTAAATCTTAGCGCATCCTAAAATATTCCATTACTTTAACACACGAGTAACAAAATCACTTCAATAGAAAAAAAAAACTTTATTTTGACAAAAACAAACAAAATTGCATACCATTATTTCACCCTGACCGCGATAATGTATATGTATAAGGAATACATATATATACGTATTATATATTGCCGCGAATTAAAACGAAAGATATTTTTATGTTTTAAAAATCTCGACCAATATAACAGTTTTAAAATAAAATATCCACAGTAGTCATTTAAATTATTTTGATTTATTTTTCGCATTATGTAAACATTTGGATTATAAAAAATAATTTAAAAAATTGACCTCATTATTATTTTATATAAAAGTAAATACAGCGTACTTTTTGTCAATGGTATATTTATTTAATATTAAGAATTTCATTAATTTCCTGCTCGAACATTGTTTTGCAATTTACAACTTGCGCAATATTTCTTTTAGTATTATTATTATTATTATTTTTTTTTTTTTGACCATATTAATTTTGTTTCTTTTACCCTATGCTTAAAAGAGTTTTAAAAAACAATTTTTTTTTCTATCTTTTAAGTATTTTGGTTATTCCGATAGTTAATTTATTTTTTATTTTTGAAATTAGAATCCATTAAAACAAAAAAAAAAGTTACGACTCCGCTTCTATGATTACGTGTATCGTTTTCTTATAATCTCATAAATTAACTTATCAGTAACTATTAATTTAAAAAAAAAAAAATGAATTCCAAACAATAGCCTAAGATAAAACTATGTAAAACTAATGAATATATATGTATATTCATAGTTTACCATATTTTAAATATTAAATTAGTGTATATGTAAATTATAATTGTGTATGTATTGTACTGTGTCTCAAAACACGCATATATATAACGATTTACGTGCAATTTTGTCATTTTAATTATTAAAAAAAAAAATAATAAGAATAAAGTAATGGAATATCTATAATCAATGTGTTATATATATTTAAAAAAAAAACTGAAACTATGTATATGTAAATGATTTAATTTATATGGTAAAAATGTTGTGATTGATTCTAGTTATCTCTTGAGAAGCTTTATATTATAAATGTAAACGATATAATACTATGAAAAGTTATTGAACAATACTCGGTCTTGTAAAAACATACACTATATTACAATGTTTTCATATATATTTATGATTTAATCATTTCATCTATTCTGTGATCTAATAAAAAAAAGTTAAAAAAAAAAAAAGAAAAAACGTTTATAATATGATTAGCTTCCCGGTTAGTAATTGTTTTGTAATTAATAATCTGTTTGTAGACGGATAATTTTAAGAGTGATTTTTCAGAGATGAACAGGAGCAAAAAATTTGATGAGTCATAACAAAAGGAAACATTTGTTTTGCAGCAGCAGTAAATTTCTGAACTCTGATTAAATTTGAAAATTATCACAGCATGAAAAATATATCCCAAAATTGAAGATGTAGGTAATTCCAACCAAAGATTTAGATTTAAATTAGTAAGATATCGTCTAAGGGGGAAAATGCGAGGGAGAAGCCTCCCACAAGTTTATCATTGGAAACAAATTATGGAAAATGATACAAGGTATAAATGTTGACAAACCAAAAAAAAATGTCTTAAACACTATCTCCACCGCAAGAGGTGAAGTTGGACATTTTTTTTTTTTTTTTTTTGAACATTTTCTACAGTAGGTAGTCTTAGATTTTAGAACTCGACGTATGAAAATTGGACATCTTAAAAAAATTAACTAGATTGCTGACTAGCGAGAAGAATAATTAAAGTCGACATGAAGATTTATGTGTGTATAAAAATTAAAATATCTGTGATTCTTTGCTATCAACTAAACTTGTAATATTGTTATAAGCAATGATAACAGCTATAAACATGTGATAAGGTTCTAACAAAGATGGCGGAAAATGATAACCTCAACTACTAGAGATCTATTGGCGGCACGTACACGTCTTGGTAACTATGTAGCTTATTTATTTTAATATTAATTATTATTACTTTATAGGCTAATATATACTATATATATATCTGTGGAATGTAACTCCAGGAAAAGGCGTAGTGATAATTATGGGTAATGGTAAGCAGAATGTCCGACAATTGTCTGGGTTTCCCTTCTGGTTATTCCGTGGTTATTCACTCGGGCAGTTACGACCAAGGTAACGGTATATACCACCAAAGAAACGCTACCGTTTTTGCGACGATGACAGTCAATTTTTATCTCGGTTTGTGGTGATAAGACGTGATAGTGTGTAACAATAATATTGTAGGTTATGAATATTTCCGGCTTGTAATAACAATGTCATAATTTCTTATTGTTAATAATACCCTATTAAATAAGCGATTATTACGTTATTAGCAATAATAAACCGTATTATTATTTAATATTTATTATTCTATTTTTGGTTATAAATACTTTTTCTCGAACTCGCTCATTCGATACACAATAATATTTATTATTTACCCGTAGAAGAGAGCAGGAGTGTGTTGTCTATTGAACTTGCCGATTGATTTTTTTTTTTTTCAATAATATTTTATTATACCTAATATATTACTATTACACACAGTCGACGTCGTATATTTTGTTTAAAATGGATAGTGCCGCCATCAAGTCGGTACTGGAAAATTACGATGCTCGCGTGCCGAAAGACACCGACCGGGTGTACAAAGACGAATGTCTTTATTCGTTTGATTCGCCTGTAAGTAATGACAAATTGCAGTAATAATTGTTAATACCCAGAGGTTTGATTTATACTTGCTACTGCCAAACCAGGGTCTGATAGTTACAACTGTCCAGACGCATTAATAGTAATTAATAACAGCTATTGGTGACGTTTTAGGATTACGAAACTGGACTTTATATTTGTTTGCAAACGTTTGTCGGGCTCGGTCGAGAATACGTCGAACGATATTACAACAAGACGGGATGTTCGGTTTTTCTGCACATGCTTCGCGATAAAATTGAGGTAACAAACCATGTTAGTCTTGCATGTGCACGGTGTAGTTTATTAAATAGTAAATATTATCATGCAATACAAACATTACACAATACAATAGAAAATTTATCGTAAAAAATATCATCTTTAATTTTGTACAGACGATTATTTTTTTTGTACATTTAGATCGACGCTGTTAAATTAATTGTTAAGTCTTGTAGTTTTTCTGACGTAAAGACAAAATATACTCGTAAACATATTTTTAGTAGTGTTAGCATACATATATTGTTAGGTTGAAACCAAAATGACTCAGGTAGGAGATGCGCCGACCGAACGAAAGATCACCAGGCTGGCGATCGGAGTGGACGGCGGTTTCGACCCGGACGCGGAGAACAAGAAGTACAAAACAATAGAGAAATACTCCATCGTGGTGCTGCCCAATTTCGAGTCCATACCGTTTGAAACTAACGAGTTGCCGCAAAAAGTAAAAACTAATATTATTACAATAACAGCTTTTTGCCAAGTATTTAATATCATTGTTGTTCTTGTTGTAAGGTGATCGATTCGGTCAAAGGTATTATCGAAGCTAAATCGGCTAATTATTTGGCCGAGTTAGAAAGTTTGTCCGGCACTTGGGACGGAGAAATAAGACTGAAAACCAAGTATGACCATTTTATTTTTTCAGCCGGCGGCTTTACATGTACTTGTATTATGGTTTTTTTGTTATTTCAAATAGATACGCTGACATAGAACAGTTAAACAACGGCAAAAAAATTCCCCCCAGCGGTTGGAAATGTGAATTTGAAAATTGCGACATTGATAATAATTTATGGCTTAACTTGACGGACGGTTCAATCTACTGTGGGCGTAAATTTTTCGACGGTTCAGGAGGAAACGGTCATGCGACTCTTCATTACGAGGAAACTAGTATGGAACACGATTATATATTTTTTCTTGTATACTTAAATAGAAAAAAAAGGAATATAATTCTAAACTTGCCCAATAGAACATCCACTCGCCGTAAAGCTTGGCACAATCACAAAAGACGGCAAAGGAGACGTGTACAGTTATCCGGAAGACGATATGGTCGAAAATCCAAATCTCGTAAAACATCTATTGCACTTTGGTATCAACATTTCTACATTAGAAAAGGTAAATGATAAGAGCTCATGGGTCATGTCGTCCGAGGTACATTGTGTCGTTGTTTTAGACCGAAAAATCTATGGTGGAACTGGAATTGGATCTAAACCAGAAATTCGGCGAATGGGCGACGTTGCAAGAGAGCGGCGCCGAACTAAAACCGATATTCGGACCGGGATACACGGGCATGCACAATTTGGGCAACTCTTGTTACATGAACAGTATCATGCAAGTTTTGTTCTCCATATCGGACTTCACCGACAAGTAAGACAAATTTGGAATTGTTAGTTTTTGTTGACAACCACCGATTGAGCGTTATTAAACAAAAACAATTTACAGGTATTACCTTGGATCGAGAAATATATTTGATATGTGCACCGATAATCCAGTTGAAAATTTCGACGTGCAAATGTTAGTATTTTTTCGAGTGTATATTTTTATTAATACTGTTCGTATTACTTATTGCTTGTTAATTAGTAGTAGTTAACAATAATTAGATGTGTGTGCGATGTAGACATTTGTAAACTAATTATTTGTCGATATCTTACCAGGGCGAAGCTTGCACACGGTTTGTGTTCTGGAAGGTACTCTATGCCGCCGCCGGAGGTCATAGAAGGCAAGAAAAAGTATTGGCACCACGGGGTCAGACCCAACACTATTAAGACGTTGATCGGAAAGGGACATCCGGAGTTTGCCACCAAGAAGCAGCAGGATGCTCAAGAATTCTTCTTGTATTTAGTTTCTCTGATTGAGGTATTTTTTAATGGAGCGGGTTAACCCCCCGGGTCAGGCTTTTTTTTATAACCAATGAAAACTAAAATAAAATTTATATTTTCAGCGCCATAGTCAGCGGTCGGAAAATCCCGCGGAAAGCTTCAAGTTCAACATCGAGGAACGTTATCAATGTTCAACTACCGGACAAATTAAGTACACATATCGCCCCGAGTACTGTTTGCCGTTGTCTATTCCTCTAGAAGCGGCCATAAACAAGGCCGACGTATTGGAATACGAGAAACGGTTAATCGAAAACGAAGGATTAGGCGAAACTGGTAAAAAAAAGTAAGTTAAACAATTAATATTACAATTTCAGTAGACTAACTGTGTAAAACATACGATAATCAATAAAGAAGTTGCATTAAAAAAAAAAAACAAACATCTGTGTAAACCGCAGAATAACAATAGCGTATATAACGAAAAATTAACTTTTACGACCCCATTCAATGAAAAAGATGCCAATACAACTTTTTCGGACCTTTATAACTTTAGTTCTCGTCTGAAAATTCGTATTACATTGTAATATTTAAATGTAAAAATTTTCAGCGTCAACGAAATCGTTCGACCTCGTATCAAAGTGTCTTCGTGTCTAGAAGCGTTTAGTCAGTCTGAAGTCATTGAACAATTCTTTAACGCCGCATTGAACCAAAGAACTACGGCTCAAAAGTAAGTAATTTTGTGGATTCGATTAACTTGTTTAGTTAATTACAATCTTTTATGTAACAGGACTACGAGACTGGCAACATTTCCCGATCATCTGATGATACATTTGAAAAAGTTTTCTCTCCGCGAAGACTGGACGCCCATCAAGTTGGACTGCGCTGTTGAGATGCCCGAACAATTGGATATTGGCCATTTGAAGGGAAACGGTCCTCAGGAAGGGGAAAATATATTGCCGGAAACGATCGGTAAAAACGTTTGTTGTAAAAAAAAAATAAAAATGACTCTATTGTTGAATTGTAATGTTATTAATTTTAGATGCTCCTCCTCCGTTCGTGTTTGACCCCAGCGTCATGTCCGAACTAAACCAAATGGGCTTTCCGCCCGAAGCTTGCAAACGAGCCGTATTTTACACGAAAAACCGAGGACTGAACGACGCGTCCAACTGGCTAATGGAACATATTTCAGATTCAGATTTCGACGCACCTTTCGTGCCGCCAGGAGCCGAATCCAAATCTTGTGGTAACTATGAGAATGACAAATAGTGATATTATATCTACCGCGGTCGTGTAGTGTATTTAACTAATAAGTTTGTAACCAACAACAATCAGGTTTCGAGCCGAACGAAGAAGCCGCCACCATGATCATGTCTATGGGATTCGAACGAAGTCACGTGATATCCGCATTGAAAGCCACTGAAAACAATCTGGATCGAGCTCTCGACTGGATCATGAGTCACGGACCCGAAGACGTCAGCGCGTTGATTGACGCTCCGGCCAGTTCGGTGCCGACGTACAGAGACGGACAAGGAGGTAAACGATATTTTGTTCTCGGTTAGACGTTGTCGTCGTGTATTGACCGTTTTGCATTTTTTTTACAGTTTACAAACTTATGGCTTTGATATCGCACATGGGCAGTTCCTCGACCGTCGGACACTATGTGTGTCATATTAAAAAAGAAGGCCGCTGGGTTATATTCAACGATGAAAAAGTAGCGGTGTCTCAAAACCCTCCGCTCGATCTTGGCTACTTGTATATTTACAAAAGAATCAACTGTTGAAAAGTCGTTTAAAAAATTATTAATCGTCGCGAGATTGTTATCATTTTTTTCGTACATACTTTTTTGTATTTAATATCATTTTTATATTGCTCTTATCCTATAAGTTAAATATGTATTTTGAACTGTAAATTGTATCCATAAACGAAAATAATTAAAAAAATATATTTTTTACAATATGTCATGAACACAGTTTGTTCTATTTTAAGCGTGACGATAGTGATTTTCCGATTTCAAATAATTCATTGTTTATGTTTGCAAAAAATGTCATAACATCATTTAATTTCATGTACAGTTTCTTCATTATTTATTTTATTTATTTTTTGCTTATAAAACTTTAGCTAACCTTGATAAAAGGCTTGGACCACTTGGATTGTGCACAACTTAATAAATCAGTAAACCATTTTACCTATTTAAATCGGTTGAAACTTTGTGACTTTTCACACATTATATTCCCTCAAAATATTATGTTTAATGGAGACATATAAACAATCAATTGGGGGGGAGGGGAGGAAGTAATCTCCCACCAACATGGATTATGAGTATAATATGATGTTAAACAAGAAGTATCAATTTTTTTTTTTAAATCGCTGCCAAGATTGCTGTGATAGTCCAGAAAATAAACTGACTACCAAAAAAAGAAAGTCCTAATTACTAAAAATTAAAAATTACACGTCACAGTTTAACCTTTAGATTAAGATTTTGCAAACAAATTTCCTTTAACCTAACCTTCACCAATCTCCTTAAAAAATAAGTTTTGAAAAATGTTTTAATAAGCATGTTTTGAGCACTGAAAAAAATAAAATGGTACAATCATTACATAATAGCGGTGAAGAAGAATTTACCTACTAAAAAATAATTACTATAACGGCTGCAAATATTTCTACAACAACAATAACCAGTTAGATTACACAAAATAGATTTTCACAGCTTTAAAAATATAAATACAAACTTCTTGTTAAAACCCCCTCAAAATTAGAAAGAAGACGATCATTATATAGGAGTTGCACTCATGACTGACTATGTTTCAACGATTGCTCAACCAACAATGAAGAACAAAGACAATATACTTACTTCAAGTGGTTGAAAATCATAGAAATAAATATCCAGATTGTAATATGAAAATAGATTTCTTTAAAAAAATAATCATTATGAATGTTATTAAACTTATAGTACCTGTACGATAAAACAATTATTTTTTTAGTATTTTGCCATTTCAACGTTGTAGTAAAATGATAAGTACGCAAAACGGTTTTAATTTATAAAATACTATAAGCTGAATACAATTTTCAATTTTTGATTATAATATCCTAAAATTGTGATTTTAAAAATAAAACATTTAATCTTTTTTTGAACCAAGTTTTAAACCTGCTATGGTAATCATAACAAATTATATCTGAAATTATTAATGAACTCTCCACAACATTTTCAACGCACAACTGTGGCACAAATTTAAAATTGTTTTTTAGTTGATTAATATTAATATTTCAATGTAAAAACCCGACAATTGTTAACTTTTTTAAACTTGGGAATAATTACTTTAGACCGAGTGTTATTTTCGACCAAAAAATTGCAGGTGTCTTGATGCCTCTTAATGGAAAACCCCAACAAATAAACCTAACCTGGTTGGCAAATTTTTTTCCCCAACGTTGGCATACCTGTTTGAAACAAGCGACCGTCTTTGTTGCTCGGTTGCAAATAGCCATTGATTGTCTTTTCGGTTTTTTAAGGTCTAGGGCGAAACTTTTAATTAGACAAAAATAAAGGCGTTTATTATTAAAAATTAGTGTTTACCTTTGGCGTTTTTTTTTAAAATTAGTTTATACTTAGGCGATGACGAAAAAGCAATACGGCACGCCAGGGCCCAAGTACGACGCACCGACCACCGTGGGTTATGAGAACACCGACGTCAGGCTGCCGAGGGCTCCTGCTTTCTCGCTTGGCCAGCTGCTGAAGGACGCCGGTCCGGGCCGCAGGCCACAAGTGCCCGGGCCAAAGTACGACCTGGGCGACTACACCCGGCACGGGCCCAACACCACGCCCGCCGCTTTTTTGGCGTCCAGAATCAAAGAGCCCAAACGCAACGCGCCCACGCCCAGTCCGGCCGCGTACAACATCACCGACGCCCTACCGTTGACCATGCCCGCGATGCCGGCCTACTCGTTGGGGTGAGTAAAACTAATCAAAACTAAAGAGTAAAGAGTTTACTTGTAGTTGTGCAAAATAACTAATAAGGTGGCTATTTAAAGCTAAAGTGGTAACAAAGCTATTGTTTTAATTAAAAAATATACTTTGAACAAGATGTTTTGTATTATATTGTTATAGTTTCTCGTTATAGTCTACTATTTTTAAATGTAATCACTGTATCAGAATTTGTTTTTCCATTTTGGTGGCCCTTTTTTAAATAATTCCCCGTAGCAAAGAAATAACCTATGTATTAACAAGGCGATTCACTAAACTAAATTAACTAGTTTTCAGAATCAATATTATGGTTTTTTGAAATATTTCAATATTTTCCTCATTTTATCCTATAAACTATGTGTTCAGGACCTCATATTTTTCTATAAATGGCACCAATTCAAAGAGCTTTTACTTAGAATTGCGTTTTTGAGAGATAGCCATATTGCTTGAATGACAACATATAAGTAACATTGACCGCATTTGTCTTATCTCATTTCTTGATTGTTATTAAACAATGTGATAGTGAGAAAACGTAGTCCGGCAAAAAAACAACCAGTAGTTAATGTTTTTGGGTGCGATTTTCAGTCTCCAATTTTTTCAAAAATATATTATTATGAGGGACTGAAATTTTAAAATTTAGTTTTATAAAAGTTCAATGTGATAACCTACTATATTATGTCAATATAATAGTATTATACTGTTATGTATTATGTTGTAATTAAAAAAAAAACCGTTTATTTATTTGAATATTTGTTTAGTCCTTCGCACTGCAGTTCAGTCTCTCACCACTGCCGTTCAGTCCCTTAAAATTGGCAACTTCTTTAATTCAAATTTTCTACTAAACTAAAAATTTCTACGAAGGACCTTTAATGATCTTTAATGTGAACCCTATGTTTAATCAGAAATTAAAAAAAAAAAAGATTACCACCGCCATCTCTTATCCCTTATCAGATAACAGCGTGACCGTTTATATAACGTTTTTTTGTCAAACTTTTTTCGCGACAATTTTTTCGGTTATGTGCCTAAGAGCCTAAGACATGAAAATGTCAAAATTCCTTAGTTTCAGAGAATCGCCCATAGTTAAGTGTAGGGAATTTTTTTGCAAAATCTTAATTTAGACCTCGAACTTTAATGGATTACTTCGTTGTGTATTAACAGTGTTAGGTACAACTTTATATATTTTTATTTACTCTAGACTTATCAGTGTCGTTTGGGACTATTGTACGGTTAGGTTAGGTATAATATTATCCAATATTTTTTTTTTTTTTTACATTTTTCACGTTGATACGCTCGTTATATATGTTCTGCTTATGACAGTTTCAAAAGGCCGTCCCGGAAAAAACTGTCGCCCACTCCGGCGCCAAACGCTTACGGCCAGGCCGCCATTGTGGGCAACCGCGTGCCCAACTTGCCGTCCGTGCCGGAGTACACCATACTGGGCCGACATGACGGCGCGGGCAAAGGCAAAACCAATTACAAATCGCCCGGCCCCGCCAAGTACTCTGCCGTCGAACTGGACCTGTACAAGAAGCAGACGCCCAGGCCAGTCATGCTGGGCACTCCGGCGGCTGGCAAGTCCAAGAGGAAAGGAACGCCCGCGCCCAACGCTTACCTGCCGCCTTTGGTGCGCTTCGACAACGCTCCACAGTATTCGCTGGGCGAGCGCATTGCCCAACCGGCCGGTCCTTATCTCACCGCAGCCGATAAGGCGCCATTTTGGGAATAGATATGATAACGACTTCGATTGAACTTACCTTCAGACGACCTTCAGCTTACGTCGGACAATTATTATTCGATAAATGATTTTTATTAAGCAAAAATAAAACCCTTCCGAAAGAGCTGTTATTCCTATAAAACGGTTAGGTTGGAACACGACATAGTGTGGAATATATTATTATTACATAATATACCTAATACAATATTATATTTTGCGATAATTTTTTACTTATTTTACTTATTTAATTTACAACTATTGTATGATTATTTGCGAAAAACCTGAATCAAATTTGAGTGAGTAAGTTTTAATTGAATTTATATTATCGATTATTTAATTTGCTATTTGCTGGTATAAAATAAAATACCTACGTTTTATTACAACTAAAATTATCTCCATAAGCTGAACGGACAGCGCCAAATTTTTATACAAAACGCAAATTGTCATTATAAGCGTTTAAATTTGTATTTGTTATAGTTTTTCTAATTTTACTAATTTTCTAATTGCTAAATCAAAATTAAGCCTTTTAGCCCCTATAGAGAATATAGTTTTACATAAAAAAATTAGTTTTATACGCAAAAAAATGTAATATTATTGCTCAATTTAATTGGTTAAATTTTCCATAATAAATAGCGCTTTCCGTTCTCCTTTAGTAATACATTTTCGCCAATTTTAAAATGGGTGAGGGATTTTATTCTACATCTTAAATAAACTTGTTCTACAGTACTCTGAGAGGAATTTTTCTGATCCTAATATTATGCTCAGTTTCCACTATGCTTCTACCACAGTGCCGAATAAAAACTAATCAGTTGAAAAATAAAAACTCAGTATGTAAGCCATGATTTTCGTATGAATGTCAAAAACGTTATTAAGTGATAACGCTAACATTTTTTTTTACACAGAAAATGTGCAAAGTCTGGTCGTCAGTCTGATATGTATATTATGTAATCTGACTAGGTATATTTATATACGAGTATTAAATATATAAACATATAAACAGTGACATATATTAAAATAATATAGTACGTATAGGGGATGTCTCAAAAAGAAATTTGAAGGATTTGATAAGGCCGCCATTTTTGTTTTGTTGGCAGCATTGGCTTTGTTATTTTTGTTATCTGTTATCACTTTTTACATAAAAGTGAAATAGAGAAATAAATCCGAGTGTTGTACTTTTTATCCTCTTCAGTGCTGTGCTATTGCTTGGAGACACAACAAAATAACATTCAACCTAATAAGATTCAACAGCCAATCATCAGTGACTATAAAGTGCGTTCATGTCCTAATATAAGATGGACTCTACTAATAAATACTAAGAAAAAAATCTAGTCCAAAACGTCGGCACGTGTAAAAAATATAAATGTATTATTATTTCGATTGGCCAAAGTTTATTTTGTACACCCAAATTGGTATTTGTTTACTACACGCGTACCTACTAGAAGTGTCGCACACGTCCCACTTGCTGACCCATTGGTATTCAGTGTAAGATGCCAGAGCGTGTGAGGTGCAATGCTGTGCTATTTCGTTGCATTGTTTTGGTCGGTAAGTGTTTAATAATTAAAAAAATACCTAATCACCTCGGTCGATGGTGTTGATCACGAACTCGTTAATATTGTAAATTAAATCCGTCAACGTTTCTGTGGACAAAACCAAAACACGTGTATCGATACAAAATCAAATATAAATGAGTATAATCAAATATAAAAGTGTGTATTATAATCAAATATAAAATACACTCTTGTTATAACAAAAACCTAACAGTGAAAGAGGGCCAAAGGGTCTGGTATTACTATCCTCCCAAAAAAGTCAGCCTGACAAAGCTTAGTGATGTCTACATTGTGGCCAAGTCTCTTTAAAGTCTAATCACTACTATTAAGGGCTCAAATGTGTACAGTATCTTAAGCTACCTAAGGTTAATTTGTGTTTCAAATTTCAAAAGATTATCTCAAGAGGAAACAGAGATATGTGGGTTAGAAAAAAACTGAGTGAATTGGTTCGTGTAAAGATACACAATGGCATTTCTGGAACTTAAAATTTGAATACAATTAAAAATATAGATACAGCATGCTTTGGACTACAACAACAATGTGTATGTTTTGTATTGTTGCAATACAGTTTATTATTGTGCACATCCACGTGATAAAATAGTGTGCGTGTGTTAATCTAATGTAAATTATTTACTAGATAATAACGATAATCGCCGGGCTGCGTAGGTGTACACTTGACCACCTCTATTGTCATTGTTGTTATTTAAACTATATTAGAAGATATAGTAAATATAGTTTAATAAATAAATAGGTTTGGACTGTGCGTGTAAATACAAACGTTACATCATTTAGTTAGTTGACCAATGTGACTGCAATATTATGGTAAATTATTCTTAATTAGACTGCGTTAAACAGTTTTACTTTAACCAGCTTCAGATTTATTCAGTTTTTTTGGCAATTTAGTGTTTTTTTTTGGATATCAGATAGACACAATAACATGGTAAAAAATAAGAAATATGAAAGTACAAAATTAACATTAAGAAAGAAATAACAATAATAATATTATGAATGAAATAATTATAATTACAGTGAAATACATAAATACAACTTACACAAATGTAAGTTAAAAACCAGAATAATAAAATCCCCTATCGTCGGATAAGTCCGGGTAACCTGGCCTTTTTCGCATACCCTTAGCGATGGCCTTTACTCTCGCGAATCTGGCTTGAAACGCGGCGTCCACGGCGGCGGTGGTTTGGCCGAAACAGGCCACGCTCGGTGCCCAAACCCGTCGTTGCTCGGCCGGTGGCCGTTTTGAAGCCATCGGCGGCTTTGGCCGATACCTGGAGCTAGCCGCCAGAAAGCCTAATTTTTGGCGGCCGACACTGGAAACCGTTATGGGGAATACCAGTGTACACCAATTGAGCAAAAATAAAGCGATAACAATAACGGCGAAACAAGTAATAGAAATCACGTGGACAAAAACGGCGAAACAGCCATTTAGAATGGATTGGAAATCACCGATATGAGCGTAACGCCAATAAGACGAAAATAAATCACGAAATGCGCCGAAACAAGTAATTAAACAGTACAGTTGGATAATGTGCAAAAACAAAAAGTAAGCAAAAAACAACCAACTCGACACGACGACGGGCTTGACGACGGCCACGTCTCCGCGGGCTTTGGCGACGGTGGCTTGGGCTGCGGGTTTGGCGTCCGCGGGACAGCCTAGGCGTTTGTATAGCCCAGCCGAAAGTTCTTCAAGTACATCATACACAACCGACACTGATTTTGGCGACATGATTATTATTTTGATAATTTAATAAGAAAGCAAATCGACAACACGAGAAAAAATATTACACAAACAAGTTAAATTTGTTAGAAATTTGATTAAAAAATTACAAAATATAAACAGTAAAGTTAAGACAAGTCTATTGTTACAATACAACAACAGCTGTCGTCGTCACTCGTCAAGACCGTTGTAGTCGCAGACATATGGTTATTAAATTATAATACAAGTATATGACGAGTACGGTTTTTAGACATTACCGCTGACCCAAGAGATAAATTTAAATGTTTTATATCTCCATAATGTGTTTTAATAATTATTTTATACTAAATTGACTGTCACAGACACATTCGTTTTAGAAATAATAATGTTAGTCACACTAGATATTAAATTAATTGAAATTATTAAATTGAAACTTTAATTAGAAACAAGGGCCCAATTTCAAATTTTCTTTTTTAGATTTTTCAAAAATTCCTCAGGCAAAATTAAAAATTAATATTTTATAAATCAAGCCGACCCATTAAATGGTAATAAATTAGGCAAAATTTCGTTAAAAAAAAAAAAGTGACTTAGAAAAATAGTCGTTTTGAAAATAAACCAAAATTTGAAATAATTGGGTTGAAATTTGTGTAGGGTTTATTTGAAATATTTACACGGTTTTACAGTTATTATCTTTTGGGCTGTGTCGAGTGCTGGTCAACTGTTGTTCGGTCCGCTGTGCTGCTACCTGTAGACTGAAGTGATCAAGGCTGCAAGTTCCATCCCCACTATTATTTTCTTGTTGCTTCCGGCTTCTCCTGTCCTTGACCTTTGTAAATCTGTTATGTCAGGTCAGGTGAGGTGAATCCAAAATTTGCGTGGAAGTTTTCATGTCACGATGACGTCAGCTGGTAAGTGGATAGTTGATAGGAGACGTTACCTGTAGACGTGACGATTTAATCGGTCTTATTATTAATCTCTAGCTATAGTATACGAAGGGAGGGGTGGAAAACATTTAGTTACAGGTTAATTATTTGTATAAGCTTCGAGGTGTATTATTTTAACTATACAATTTTTTTTAACATTAGTAAACGTCATTTTGGCGGTATTTTAGACCTAGGTAAAGTAGCCAACGAACTCGAATATTTTTTACACAACTGAAATCGGACCATTCTAAGTAGTCGACATTTTGTCAGGCTTTTTGATATGAAACGTCAAAAAAACCGACCGTTTTGAGTCCCAACTATTTCCACGATTATAAAGTTCTGTGAGTATTTTAGTTTTTACACGAATAGCTATTAGTATATAGATATTAACTAAATAAATACAAAACGATTCATACTAATTTTTATAAACGAATGCTGTACAAAATTTATCAGAATTAATAAATGTAATACAATTACTCTTTGCCAAAATATGTAGTCCGCGTCCTAAAAAGTTTTCATGGGTGAATTTTCCAGGTTAGGCGACCGGATAGCATCCAAGTACTTGACTTTTGTCTGAGGAATACATATTACTTATTTCAAATCGAGCTTCTAAAATAGGTCTATAGTTAACCACACGCAGTCACAAAAAAAAAAAAAAAGGTTTTCTAATTATTTTATTTTTAACATACAAGTAAGAATTTTACTGATACAATAATTCCTTAGACTCTTACAGCTAAATAAATTATTATTAACATTTTATACATAAATTACTATACATGTATTTTGCATACCCGTTACTTGGTATTATTTTTACTCGAGTACGCGCAAATTCACAATTACGACCATCATCAGACATCACGTGTAAATATGTTGAACTTGATCAAATGCGAAGATAACTAACTACATCTGGATAAAATTCTGATTACATTTTTAGTTAATTTTTTTTTTTTGGGGGGGGGGGGGAATTCTATTATACTATACTCGTTTCCAAACCACCCATGGGGTAGAGTATTTGGCTCGTTTTTTTTAACGTGGTATCTCCGTCTACGATGATGCTTGAAAAGTGAGCTAGTCAGTACTTAATTGGAATTGTGTGTGTGTGTAGCGTGCATTATTTAAGATATTAGGGGTAATGCAGATAATGACTTTGAGGGTTATCCTGCTGGATCACGGTACAGGTTGAATCCAACCAAATCGACGGCTTGGGCGGCCACGCATCAGACAATGATGGACTTAGTATCATCTACAGAGATAGATTCGGGTTTACCTTAAGTTTAACTTCACAACGACCACACCCTGGTATTGACAGCTTGTTAATAACGACGACATCCTGGTATTGACAACTTGGGCTGCTGCGAACAAACGTTAACTTATCTATGTGGAACCGGGCTTACCTTAAGTTTAACTTCACAACGACCACGTCCTGGATCGACAGAATGGGCGGCCACGCGACAAACGTGGACTTACGCATCGATGTCGATCCAGGCATATTTTGACTTCATCACGACGACATCCTGGTATTCTCTGAAACTAAGCAATTTTTTCACTTTAGAAAAAGTTAATTTTTTACGAATTTATTTTTGGTCTCGGATTAAGCATAGGGTTCACATTAAAGACCATTAAAGGTCCTTCGTAGAAATTCTTAGTTTAGTAGAAAATTTGAATTCAAGAAGTTGCCAATTATAAGGGACTGAACGGCAGTGGTGAGTGACTGAACTACAGTGTGAAGGACTAAACAAATATTCAAATAAATAAACGATTTTTTTTTAATTAACAACATAATACATAACAGTATAATACTATTATTGACATAATATATTAGTAGGTTATCACATTGAACTTTTATAAAAACTAAATGTAAAATTACAGTCTCTCATAATAATATTATTTTTGAAAAAATGAGGGGACTGATAATCGCACCTAAAAGCATTAACTACTGGTTGAAATAAGTTTGGAGAAAAGCCATATTTTTGGAACACTTATAGGGTAAAAGGAGAAAATTATTCAAGTATTCAAAAATCCATAAGTGATTCTGAAAACTAGAGTACTTTCTTAACTGAATAATGTCAGGAACAAACGTGGACTTATACATCTATGTCGAACCGGGCTTACCTTAAGTTTAACTTCACAACGACCACATCCTGGATCGACAGAATGGGCGGCCACGCGACAAACGTGGACTTATGCATCGATGTCGATCCAGACATATTTTGACTTCATCACGACGACATCCTGGTATTGACAGCTTGGGCGGCCACGCAACAAAAATGTGAACTAACGGGCGATTCTCTGAAACTAAGGAATTTTTTCACTTTAGAAAAAATTAATTTTTTACGAATTAATTTTTGGTTTTTTGATTAAGCACAGGGTTCACATTAAAGACACATAAATTATAGGGTAAAAGGAGAAAATTATTGAAGTATTCAAAAATCCATAATTGATTCTGAAAACTAGAGTACTTTCTTAACTGAATAATGTCAGGTGCAAACGTGAACTTATACATCTATGTCTAACCGGGCTTACCTTAAGTTTATTATCACAACGACTCCATCCTAGTATCGACAGAATGGGCGGCCACGCGACAAACGTGGACTTGTGCATCGATGTCGATCCAGGGAGAACTATACTTTAACTTCATCACGACTACATCCTGGCATTGACAGCTTGGTCGGTCACGCAGTAAACGTGGACTTGTGTACTGATGTCGATCCGTGCTTACCTTAAGTTTAACTTCACAACGACTACCTGGTATCGACAGAATGGGCGGCCACGCGACTAACGTGGACTTATGCATCGATGTCGATCCAGGGAGAACTATACTTTAACTTCATCACGACTACATCCTGGCATTGACAGCTTGGTCGGTCACGCAGTAAACGTGGACTTGTGTACTGATGTCGATCCGTGCTTACCTTAAGTTTAACTTCACAACGACTACCTGGTATCGACAGAATGGGCGGCCACGCGACTAACGTGGACTTATGCATCGATGTCGATCCAGGCATATTTTGACTTCATCACGACGACATCCTGGCATTGACAGCTTGGGCGGCCACGCAACAAATGTAAAATAACAGGCGATTCTCTGAAACTAAGGAATTATTTCACTTTAGAAAAAGTTAATTTTTTTACGAATTTACTTTTGGTTTCTGATTAAGCACAGGGTTCACGTTAAAGACCATTAAAGGTTCTGAACTAAAAAGTAAGGGACACATAGTTTGTAGGGTAAAATGAGAAAAAATGACTTAACTGAATAATGTCAGGCGCAAACGTGAACTTATACATCTATGTCGAACCGGGCTTACCTAAAGTTTAACTTCACAACGACCACACCTGGTATCGACAGAATGGGCGGCCACGCGTCAAACGTGGACTTGTGCATCGATGTCGATCCAGGCATAACCATATATTGACTTCATCACGGTGACACCCTGGTATTGGCAGCTTGGTCGGCATAACTTATGATTAACTTAATACTACAAACTCATTGGCCTATTGAGGTCTTATGCTTAACAAAGGGTACCGAAGAGGTTGTCCAGCAGGATAACGGTATAGATATTGGTAGATTTATTTATAAAAAAAAATCTTGTTACCAAATAAGTATTGACTCGCTATTGTGTAAGTAGTTTAGTTTGATTAGCTGAAGTGTGATAATAGTGCTGCCATAATGTGTAAATTTACTTAAATAAATAAATGATAGTTTTGCGGTTGTTTAAAATAGTTTATGCCGGGAGAACTGGCATCATCGTATATAGACCTAATCCACGCAGTACTTGACTCAATGGACAAGTAATATTAGTATTTAAAATACATTACTACATGCATTGCATACCGCAGTTACTTCGTGTTATTTATACTTATTTGGAAATCCATGATAGCCTCCAGGTGTAGCCCTTTTGAGTTTTTGGTCGCCTTCGGTGGAACGCTTGGGATTTATTCTTTGAATAGCTTGAAGAAGTATGTCCATCCAATCTTATAGTACACTGACAATAATGTTTAAGTCGTTCAAAAATTTAACGGTTTTAACGTAAAATATAACTGAACAACGCTTTGAATATTACAACACAGGTATTGAATTTTAATGTTTTATAAATATACATTAGTTACTAACTACCTTGTTAACATAGAAACAAATTGATTTCAGCCGTTGAAAACGCATACATAGAATTTTGGCCAACAGAAGTTTGCTTAAGTATTTATATTAATTTAACATGAAGCGACAGAGTAATAATTGTAATTTATAAAGGGATGTAGCTATATTAATGGGAATGATTTGAAAATTTCCGATTAAATATTTTATGCATCCATCCAGAATAACAACTATATTATGTAGAATATCTAGGTAAACAAGGTTATTAAGGTTTAAGAAAAACGGGCGGTTTTTAAGGGGTTTTTATTTAGGCAATATTTAAGAAGATAGTGGTTTTAATAAATGTCGACCATGTCAATTTATTTCCAGGATAATTTGTATACGTTTCGGGATGTAAATTTTAACGTACATAATTTTTTTCTACGATTCAAAGCCATTTTGTTCTTACAGGGAACCAGGATGATCGGTTATGTATGTAAGTTTCAGACTTTTATAATTAAGTTAAATATTTTTTTTAAAAAAGTGCAAATGACCGCCATTACCCATATAGCTGAGTAATACCAGTCACCAAAAAACACATGTAAAATGATAGAGAAAAAATTTAAGTTCCTAAAAAACATACAAATTATGATCAAAATCAGTACAGCCTATTGTTCAAAGACATTGTATGTTTAATGGAAGTATTAGTTAGGTAAGGTTATTACATGAGTTATGTTAGACCGTTAATACCCCATCAGTTTAGACTGGTATTACCCCTATCAGACTTTTTTTTTTAAATACATGTATTTACTTAAAAAATATAACATTTAGGTATATTATGAGCAAATAAATGCAATGCTTGCCAGTTGGTGATATATTAGAAACAGTCAATATAGTAAAAAATTAGAAATTCTTAATTTGAGATGAGTTTTATTTTGGAAAAATATTACAACAAAAGTGATAAAGAAAATTGTTAACTATTTTTTTGTGGGAAAAAAGTTGTTTAGTATTTTGAAACATCTTTTATAAGGTTCTGGTAACAACAGTTATCAAATTATGTGCTCATCTAAATTTTAGCTATCATACTTTAAGAGATATGCCATTGACCACCGGTATTACCCACTGACTGGTATTCCCCCGTCCGGAGCTGAGTTTGTCAGCCGCCTCGAGTAACTTGATAACTTGAGTCAAGTTTAGTTTCTTGAGTTTTTTTTTTTTTTGGCTAAAATACCGGCCTACTTATTAATGGGAAATACGGTGTGCGTTTCTCGTTTAGGCAGGCGGCCCTATAATTATTAAAGGCTCGAAGTGCGTCGCGTTTCAACTACACAGCAGCGCGCTGTATTAATAAAAATAATAATAATAATAACGTGCACATAAAAATAAAAATATAATATATATATATATATTGTAATAATCGTACACATGTACACACACACACATAGTACATACATAATAATAACATATGATTGGTCGCGTACAGATGCCCTTGTGCCAGGCTGTACACATCTTGCGGCGCGTTGCATATGTATATATACAATGGGCGGCGTGTGTTTTACATCGTCGACATGTGAATACAGTAGTCGACGCCAACTGTCCGCCGCGCAGGACGTGATTTGTTTGCCGCGTCGCTGTTGATGTGCGCGTTTTGAAAATCGTATTTTTCCTCGGTATTTTTCTTCTTCTAATATTAAGTAGTAAAACAATAATATAATATTGTGTTTCGGTGTTGTTGTCGTCGTCGGTGCGGTCGAATATGTGTGCGTGAACGTTTAGCCCGGCCAAAAACGAACATACAACAACAAACAGGTCGGTACCTTTCGAAAATAACATAGTCTCTACATAGACTCTATTTAGGTACTATATTTTGTACACTCTATACTTATTAGTACAATATTTAAATAACGTTACAGTATATACCTACAACTACCTACCGAATTGTCGTAGAGACAATCCGTCAGTGTAATAATATCAATAGAGGCGTAACTACAGGGCTAAATCTAACCAAACCCAACCTAACCAAACCTAACTAAACCTAACCTAACCTAACCTAACCTAACCTAACCTAACCTAACCTTACCTAACCTGGGGCAGCTGCCCTACTGCACCCACAGTTGAAGTTACACCACTGATATAATGTGTGCATGATAATACTAAAATTAGAATTTGTCCTATCACAAGTTTTTGTAGAAATAGCCTTTTTTTTGTGTTTTGTAGAAATTATAATAAAATCATGTACTCAATTTCAGTGTAGACCAGCTGTATGGTCTATGGTGGAACCTGGTTAAGTGACTACCTACATGGGTTAAAAAAAAAACTGAAACGGTTTTTTTATACTAAAAAATGTCCAAGTATGCGAGTGGTGTTTACCGTGTGTTATTTACTAGATTGTTGTAATAATACAATATAATAATAATATCTAGAAACCTTTTTATTGTTTAAAAATACGTTATCCGGCACCTTTGACCCGCTGGCGAATATCCGATAAAACCGTATCGGTCAAATGCAGACTCGGGTGAAATCTTAAACTTTTCTCAAGAAAAACCTTCTTTTTTTTTTTGCCACAAATTTCTTTGTCCGTTACATACAATATATATTTTGTATCCTATAATTGGTCACCAATTAAATCGGGTCGCCGTCGTTATTCATGCGGGGTTCTTGTCCCGTCGGATTAACAAATCACATCCTGCATAGCACATTTTGCGTACCCCTGCCCGCAGCCACCGCCTTCGATTGTCTTCCAATTTAAGTAGTTCAGGCCACCAAAGGGTCCCTTTTGATCTAAATAATGCCACGACCGACACCAGAGCACTGTTGCCAGCAGAGACTGATCTAGAAACGATCAATAAAATGAGGGGGGGGGGAGCTAGGTAAATTATAGTCAAAGAGCTAAAGTTTACACGGTAAAAAATAAATGGCATATTCTACTTAATACATAATAAAATATAAAGAAAAAGTTACGGCCTAACGGCTGAAATTATAAAACACGAAACATGTTAATTTTATGTTGTGGCCAAAAAATGTTTCTTAGTAGTTTTTTAATATTTGGACTTAATCGGTTTGTTGGCAACATTATTAACCTGGTCGGTCATTTCGGATAAATTTAACCATTCGGTTAATTGTGAAATTATTTTCATTTATTTGGATGATGATCATTTGGTTACCCATTTAAAAAAAAAATATCAATATATGGATTTGTACCTTTCAAAATGTATATCAATTTATCTATTTTAATATAAAATATGGCTGTGAATAAGTAAGTATTAAGTTTAAAAGACAATCAAATAATTACGGTATTTGATGCGCCGAATATAAATATTACTATATAACAATTGTCCAGATCTAAAAACTCAAAAGACTTGCCTCAAGACATTTTATACACATACAAATATATACATATTATATAAAAAAAGCAACCGTTAGATCGCGCTACTTTCGTGACGATATTTTGTGTCGTTTTGGAGCTGGGAGGCCAAGGCTAAAGCACGTTCCATGTTACCATTGCAACCTATATTGTTTTGGTCGTCTAGTGATTTAATTTTTAGTAGAATTATTTTTTGAGGAAGTTATGTGTCGATGATTTACATTTTTTTTTTCTTTATTTACCGTCTCAAGATTATTTTACACAATACCTATACAGTTTGATTTTTTATCGGGAACCAGTCAACGCGTTAATGGGTTCAATTAATGATTGACTATTTTTTTTTCATAGTGTTTTAATATGATGTGATCTCAATTTTACACACATTTTTATATTCCTACCTCCCTCCCAAGCTATTTATTTTTATATCAAATTTTGGAACTATAATAGTAACGAATACATTTAATTTACTTTATGTAAAGCAATAATAATGTAATAAAAATGTTGACTAGTCGACAACCAGTTCTGGATAACTACTGTTGAACTTATTGAAGTTTCAAGTTTAGGGCAGTAGGTAAGGTGGATTGTGGTATTCTTGCTAACTGCGCCCACTTCCCCTGCCGTCTTAACTTTTAAACTCTTACAAGTATAAAAATAGTTGTTCAAAACTGGTTGTCAACAAGTCAAGTACATTATTCTCATTTTAAAAAGTTAATTAAATAATATATATATATGCGTTACCATTTAAGTTTCTAAAGTTGATGTAAAAATGATTAGTTTGGGAAGGGTGTTTGTATATTAGCTGTTATTATTTTATTTAACATTACATTACATAATTAAAATAATAATAATTTCAGTATAAGTCACACTATTTTACAATACTTGACGTCATAACCTTTAAAAAATACACCTTTATAAACATCTCTTATGATTATCATTGTTATCTGTTATCATTAAACGTGTAACCACACGAGGGGGGGGGTGAGCTGTTGAGATGACATTGTTTGAAAATAATATGATAAAAAAACAAATTCAATTAACAATCAAACCCTATGAGACCACCTTGTATAATAGTAGAAAATGGAATATATATTATGAAAATGCCTAGAATAATATTAATATGTGTGTATTACGTAGGTACCACCTATTATAGAATTCGGATAGATAAGTAAACGTTGTATTTTTTTTTCTTTTCGACCAAGAGATAGTGATAGCTACAAATTACTATTGTCGATTCGATTTTTACATCATTAAATTATTAGACGAACACGATCTAATCGGTAAGATTCGAAAACGTTTTTCGTTGTAACTTGTTTACTGATCAGCTTAATGATGTGTGTTTCATGTGACCTTTCGACCCCGGTAGAGTAATGTAAAGTATGTGCTATATCGTAAGATGCACACACATAACAAAGCATATTTATAACTATTATCTTTTAACTGTATAAAATCAGCTGCAAAGGCTCAGTTTTGTTCCTTTTGTACAATAGGTATCATAGGCGCAATTAGCATCCCCCCCAATTTAAAAATAACCCCTTCTAATATTTCAACTGTACTAACACCTCTCCTTATAGAAATGTTCAATATATACAAAAAGCTTTCTGCAGAGTTGATAACAGTACTTATTATTATTCAGTATTATATTTTATCAATTTCATGTGACTATCACTCTCTCCCCATTAGTTATCTGCATCTTGTGAACGCTCGATTCGGCTTAGGGTTCAGAATGAGACAGGACAAACTTACACATTTGCCAATATTATAAATAGAAAAAGATATTATGACACTTTTGCAGAATGAGCAAAGCATAATATAACTCTTGTATAAAATACCTGTAAATTATATTACATAAATGTTTATTATTTTTTGTTATAAAATAAAAATGCTAATAAACTTAAGTGTTAAATTGACAAACAAGATCCTAGCTCAAAAAAAACATTAACCTCGTTAATTTTAAATTAAATTTAAATACATAGAAAATGCAGAGCTTAAGCACCCTCAATTGTTTTTATTGAAATTGTGCCTATGATATAGGTATAGGTATTTTTTTTATAACTGTTATTTATACCCAGTGGCCGAAATCATTAGTTTTCCCCTCTAAAAGCCAAGTCAGGTTGGGTTAGGTAATCTAATTTTGAACAAGACAATTTTATCCAGAAAGTCCCAGGAACAATACAATAGTAATGTATATGTTAAGTTTTGAAATAGTTATTATTCTTAAAAACATATAATACATGATGGACTACTATACTAAAAGTAATCACAGCTTAATTTGTGATAATATCACCTAGTAGATTTTTGACTAATTAAAACTTACAGTGTTCTTGTATGTGTTTGTGCGTTCCTCGACCTTTTGGCCGGGTTCGAGATTTTTTTCATTAGTCAATCATTAATACTGAAACAATTAACTAACCCTAATGCATATTTTAAATGGAAAAGGACCGCATTTCGGTACTACAAGACTCGTTTGGTATCCGCCGGATGGGTTTTACAATTTGTTGTTTAGATTATCAAAACGCATCGATGAATAATGATAAAATGTCAACAGCTGTGGTGTGACACGAAGTCAATTATAAAAATGTCTTAGTATCATAGTTGAACTGCGAAAGAAAACAATATATATATATATATATTATACTCCTATATAAGTAATTAATCTAACACATACACTCAACTAGGGAAGGGGCTTGTAGTAGGAGTGAGAAATTGTACAATTGTCTTATAATTGGGCCTAGCCCAAAAGAATGTGACCCGACATAGCTATTTGGACGGATTTAAATAAAAGGAATAATTTTGATTATTTGTTGTATCATTTTTCGCTCCTAAGACACACTAGATAGGCTACGTCCTTTAAAAATGACATCTAATTAAACTGTTCATGCTAGATGTTCAAATATTCAATATGAAAAAGGACCTTATTCGAAAAAAGGTAATTGAAAAAGATAAAGAATCCTTAAGTACACGTGTATTCGTTTTGGTGCGCAGTACAAAATTGATCATTTATCAAAATAGTAACACCAAAATATAATAACTGGTAAAAAATTAAAACCAACGCACTAATAGTATGTTAATTAAAAAAAAAAAAAAATGAAATATTATTTTATTAGTAGCTTATGTTTCTTGTAATAATATAATATTATTTAGAACGTTAATTCTGGATTGCACAACAAACTGATTATTCCATAAACCGTCGATATACCAATCACGTTTCTCCAATAAGGGTTATGGGAACAAAAAATATATATATATATATATAAATATATATACATATATTTAGTCATCTCGAATCGAATTTTAAATATCTATTAAAAGGTCAATACTCTATACACTATTATTCAAAAGCTAATCGATAAACTGATGTGAATAATGTTATGTTACATTAGACAGCATTAGTTCAATTTAAAAACGATGTACATCAACTATTGTTATAAAAAAAAAACACAAGCCATGGTAATATGAAATATAATAATTAATAAACAATTTAATAATGAGAATTTACATAATGAAAAAATAAATGTGCAAATTTCGTAGTAAGAAACTAGGCTAGTTAAAAAAAGCTTTCTTAATTTTGACATATTTGTATGCTTAACAAATGACTTGTAAAAATCAAGTGCACATCAATTATATTGCGTAGTTATAAAACATATATTATAAGCTAACCACTACATGGTAATAACATTGGCCAGATTTTATTCAAACATTTTAAATAATTTAGTTTTGAAGACATAAATTACTAAATAATTAACGATAAACAGCTCAAAACTATGATTAATAGCAAAGTATAATACATATTTATATTATTGTGTCAACTTAACTTTAGACAAACATGAAATATTAATAAACGGTACTACAAATGAAAACCCCTAAGACATCCTTAGGGGTTTAAGTGCAATTTTTTTTTTAAAAACGTGATCCTATGGAGACACTGGAATACAACTGATTATTTAATAATTCATTCCTCAAAGAATGAGGAAGTCATTGATTGAGAAAGTCAACTGCATTCATCTGTTTTCATGGAAATAATGTATTATTAAAAAGTATGCACTTAACATAATTGTGTAAGAAATTGCACTTTAACTTTTAGATCTTTAATCTAGCGGTAATGATTTATAATTTTGTATTTTTATTTTTTACAAACATGAGATCACGTGACTTATAGAGAATATGAGTACCTATACTTATTGATATTTACGAATTTCGTGGGGTGTGTTATTACTTACTCTTGATGCACACAACCCTTGTGACGGATGGTTTAATATTGTTAAGAGAAATTGTGAGGGGTAGTTTTATCATGCAACTCGTACACTTATTCGAATTAACTTCCTTTTGAAAGCATAGTACCAATATTATATTATTATTCTGAACTGTGAGTTATCTAAGAACCGAAACCACAACGAATAGACCGGAGAAATCGAAAAAAATATATCGTTAACATTTATAAAATAAAAGAAGACAGACATTTCAGAGGTCGAGATTTGAAATGGACGGAATCTGAGTTGCTACATCTTACAAGTGTTACAAGTCTAAGTCATTGTACTACAATTATTGGCCACCGAAAAAATGATTTTTCCGGCCATTGGTGATTTTCTTGTTCAGCCGAAATACCATATAATATTATTTACCATTCCGAATAAGTATTATTCTAAAAAAAATAATATATAATGTTTTGATTTTAGATTTTGAAATTTCGGCCGATCAACTACCGGTACACAATGGACACTGCAGCGATGGGTAAGCGAGATTTACTACTACTAGGGTGTACTATTAATATGTATATATATACTTGAAATATATAATATGCATACTATAACGTTTAGTGTATTGCATAGTAAACGAGTAGACCGCACACTACACACACACACTACACATACACATGAAACCGTCCCTACTGCATACGAATAACAGCTAACCCCGTGACTGGAAATACTTAATCGAACGCCTTGGGTAGGTATATAGTACAAGAATAATATTATTATGTTATCATATTGTATTTAATAATATATTGTAATATATTTTCGAAACGTCTCTCCTTTGACAAAACGCGCGGTTACATATTCAAACAGCGCAGGGCCGTAGACCCCGGCCGGATCACCCGCATAACATCCGCTGTCCAGAGGGACTCGGAACCGCTAAATAGACACGTTTGGAAGCCATTATAATAGTACTTATATACACTCCAGTTATGCGTTTTCCACCGACACCGATTAAGGTCGCATATGTTGTGCACAAAACACCACCATAACCAACCGTCAATCAACCGTTCGCTGAACAGCACGTTCGGAAATCACAGATCCTTCGACAGCCCGTTTGCTATTCTTATACAAGTAGACAAGACAATGTAATAAAATATCGGCGATAATAATAATAATTCTAATAATAATATTTCACAGACAACGGGATTGAAAGCGCACGGTTTTTTGACATTTTATGTCTTTACTTTGGCACACAACCGGAAAAATCGACAGCGTTACCAACAATTTATCCTTGCATATATCTTATACATCTTATATATCCTTCTATATCCTTTCATCCTTATATCATTTTATATCCTTATATCCTTCTATATCCTTATATCCTTATACATCCTTATATATCCTTATAAATCCTTATATCCTTCTATATCCATAAACATCCGATATATAATTTAAAAAAAAAAACATAAAATGTCTCCCGTGGACTCGTACGCAAGCTGTTCAACTTAATTTACCAACACATTGAATATACTTATATGATTTGCTTGAGTTTTACTATCAAAAATTTTACAAAAGCTTAAATACCGCCTTTGTAAAATTCTTGATAGTAAAACTCATTTTGAAAAAGCCACATTTTGGTGGTAATAATAAGTGCTTTAGCCGGTTTATATTTCGATTTTGTATGCAGTTACACATTTTTTGGCTTCTTTACCGGTTCATGTTGAAAATAGAATTTCATTAAAAAAAAAAATCGGTATTTTTTTTCAGTAATTTAATAAATTTAATTTAAAAATTGTTTCAGTCAACGAACTAACCCAACCTATCTTGACAGAATTCAAATAGAACCTTTCTCGGTAGACGAAATTTGTCTTTGGTATTTCGGTTTCTAATATATTAAAAACAAAAGGGTCACGACGAATGTTATTTCTCGCCTCTGGACGTCCGGTAGTAACATTTTTGAAAAAATTGTTTGCACTCGGATATCAGAATGGCGGTTATGGGGGAGGGGGGATATATTTGAAATTTCATTAACCCGAATCGCCGTGGTTTTTAGCATCAGGGTTCTCCTCTGGAAATTTCGTCAAGATGTCTGTGCGTTTCTTATATGTGGGTCCGGTTTCCTGTTGTTGTGTTAGGCAGCTAGCTAGCTATACACGGTGTCGGCGGCGGCGGGTCAAAAGACACAGGATCGCCTGATATTTGTACAACGTCCAGAAGGTCTTTTTTATGATCTTAGTGTGTCGGTTAGGTTTGGCAGAGCGAGGGCGTGGAGGCGGGGGAGACAAAGACCGTACTGCCATGTGTACACCGTTTATTATACAAACGACGCGCACCCGGACGGTTACCAGCCTACCAAAAAAATATACATAATGTCAAAAAAAAATTACGTATTACACACCGAATATGACCCTGTATCCCGAGAAAGAGATTTGATATCTGGACAAAGTCATTACGGTATTGTTTAACACGTACTATACCTATACTCGTTTTTTATTCACACCAAAAATTAGTATTGCACACACACCACACACACAAAGGGGCGTGCTATAGTGTGTGTGTAAATAAATTACAATGAAAATCAAGTAGTATTGTGTATAACGTTTATAATGGTGTACTGTTAAAAAAGTAAAATAAATAACACCCTTTTTAGACAACCCGTCGTATTTCGCGGTGGCGCAAGGGCTGCAGAGGAGGATCCTGCCTTTGGCCGACCGGCAGAGAATAGCCAGGAACAAAAGCCTGGAGACCTCGTCGATGGGCAGGACCAGGAACGTTGACAGGCCGGCAACAAGTGCCTAACGAGGACTTTGAGCGCCAACATCGAAGATGCCAGGTTACTTGTTATGGGCCAGCCGAGACCGTCGGACGTAGCGCCGTCAGTGAAACACAGAAGACACGCCAGCACGGGTCACAAGGTAAGCAGTTTTAATTAATTTTTTTCCACCATATCTGTCCACCGAGTTCACTGTACAATATTATGTCTAATATAAACCAAAGGCAATAATTGAAAAAATAAAAAATTTTAAATTAAATTTAACGAAATCGTTGAATAAAGTCCCTTTAGTTCTGTATACAGGCGTGATCAACAGCTTATCGTAAACCACTCGATATCTCACTGGGCTTAATTGATAATTACATTTTTTTCCCCATAATGTTTTTTTATACAATGTGATCTCAATTTGTCCCACCCTCCCAAACTAATTGTTATACACATATTATTATTCTAGGCATTTTATATATTCTGTTTACTATTATTATACAAGGTGATCATTTTTAATCGTGAACCTCACTCAAGGGTTCTCAAAGGTTGATTGTAATTGAATTTGTTTTTTTATCATATTATTTTCAAACAACAATGTCATCTCAAAATCTTACCCCTCTCGTGTGGTTACACGTTTAATGATAACAGATAACAATGATAATCATAAGAGATGTTTATAAAGGTGTATTTTTTAAAGGTTATGTCAAGTATTATAAAATAGTGTGACTTTTACTAAAATTATTATTATTATGTAATGTATGTAATGTTAAATAAAATGAATAACAGCTAATATACAAACACCCCTCCCAAACTAATCATTTTTTACATCAACTTTAGAAACTTAAACGGTAACGCATATATATTTTATTTTATTACCTTTTTAAAATGAGAATAATGTACTTGACAGGTTGATAACCAGTTTTGAACAACTATTTTTAAACTTATAAGAGTTTAAAAGTTAAGACGGCAGGAAAGTGGGTGCAGATAGCAATAATACTACAATCTACCTTACCTACTGCCCTAAACTTGAAACTTCAATAAGTTCAACAGTAGTTATCCAAAACTGGTTGTCGTCCAGTCAACATTTGTATTACATTATTATTGCTTTACATAGAATAAATGAAATGTTTATGCGTTACCATTTAAGTTCCAAAAGTTGATATAAAAATAAAATAGCTTTAAAGGGGGAACATAAAATTTAAATTTCTCATTAAACCCAGTGAGGTATTGAGTGGTTCACAGTAAGTTGATCCAACCTTATATGTGACGCAGAAAACAAGAGGGACCTTTTGTCAACGTTTTCCAAAATCTAGGACACATCTTTGTAGGTAAAAAAAATTACCAAGTTGCCAAAATTATACTTCCTAAAACTAAACTCCTAAGACTAAAATGTCTTATTCATTAGTTTTCTACAATATCCCTTAACAACATCTCTTCTTTTTTTTTTAAAAAGTCACTTGTACCCTTTTGGCTCCAAACATATCATTCTAGTGTAAAAATACTGATTTTTGCAATCACTTATGTTGTGTGTTGAATATGTATATTTTCCAAAAATGTAATTTCCCATTTACCCGCCGGTATAACTGTGACATAAAATATTGTATCCTATAGGGTTGTTATATGGGTGATATTAAGTATCTGGCATAGGTCAAAAATCGCATTGCTTGCATTAACATAATATTATTTGTCATGCCGTGTGCACGCAACTATGTACACACCCTCCGTGGCCTGTTCTGGCTTGCATGTATTTTATTTACATAATACAATAATACCACTACTGTTTTACAAGTTAATTAACTCATCGTGAAGTGTTAGATGTGAAGGTTTTTTTTTTTAAAGTATATATTTTCTAAACCCACAACGACCAACAAAAAACTGCCACTGCATGGCAATAGATTTTCTTGGCAAACTCTTAATGGCTTATAACTGTTAAAATCGTACAATGATTACGAGTCTTGTTGTTATAGTATTAATGTGGTACTGTATTTGTACATAAGCAGTGACGCGTTATGTAATCTCAGTTCTGTATTGTATGTAAAGTAGTCCGTAGTTCATTCATAAAAAGACACCAAAACAAGTCACCTACACAATAAAATATAATATAACAGTAATAATAACAATAACAACACGATTTTTGGAATGGAAGAATTTGCATTGGACAACCCATGAGTAGAAAAAAATCTTAAAATAGTTGTATTTATGACAATATTTGGCGTTTAAGCAACTTTTTGGAAAATTATTCGAATAACTAAAAAATAAATTTCGGTTTCCTAATTTTTTTTATAGCTTAATGTAAATTGTCCATTAACAATATTAAAAATACACTCCCCCAGTCAGAGAAATGTCTAATTTTTTTGGTTGAAATTATCTTAAAACATATCCTTTTTGTTGTTATTAATTAAACATTTCCGCCATTATTTATAAATTATTTGACGCAATAATATATTACAAGCTATTGCATCAGGATCGCTTTTAATTAAAAAAAATTAAAAAACATAATCTTAGATTTCTGTCTGTTGGCTACTACTTTCCACGCTAATGCGTATGTCAATCAAACATAAGACTTTGGACTTGGCACTTCATCTGATTTTAATAAACAAAATGGAAAAACACCTATAGCACAATAGATTCAATTCATTAATGTATTTAAGCTGAAGCGTGAAAATAATTGTTTTTTAATATCATATAGTAGATATATATACATTGTAACTTGTAAGCAAACCTACTTTGGAAGTATAAAATAATTGATTTGAACACATACAATAAAAGTTTATTTGGAAATATTAGTGACCTCAGGACTTAGGTACACTAGGTATATATATTAATCATTAGGTATACATAATACAGTTACAGTATACATTACAATTCAGTTGTAAAATATTGATAAAACACAGTAAGAAGTATTACGTTTACTAGGCTTACCAGGTTATCTCAAACTCAGAATAATCTAAAAATTGAAATGGGGTTAAGATCTCAGGACACCAAAGCGTTGTTTATTTATCTTATCTTTGACAATGGCACCTTAATCCCAAGGTTTACAAGGTGAACACCATATTATGAACGTTGTTGGCAAAGGTCCGTTTTAACATAGGTGTAGGTACACTAGCTGACGGGTAGAAAACGATACTTGGCATGGCATACTGTATTATTATACTCCAAGGACAAAAAAAACTTGTTATGTTATGTGTGTTAAAATATTCATTGTTTAGTACATTTTATAGTATTGTTATTAAAACAAATTTAAGATTAATGACAATGAAAATTAATTATTAAATATTGTTTTTTCTTAATAACAAATTAAGAACCGTTTTTTTTTTGTATACTAAGTAGATTCTTTTGGGAATTGGAGTACAACAATAATTGTTTGGGAAGAAATTTCAATATGATATTAATTTAGTGATTGTGTTAATCTTAACCCTAAAGATTTTTTTTGCGACATTTTATTAAACATTTACAAATTGCCTTTGCCAACGTTTCTGCTTATTATCCTATTGAAATTTCTAGCTTTTCCTTTAGAATCGCATCGAAGACAATTAAATTTGAAGTAATTAAACAATAGTACACATATTTATGTTTTCATAAAAAGAGGCTTTTTTCCAAACCAAAATTTACATTATTCGCTAATAGCTTAATTGATTTTGAACTTAATTTGGAACGGTTTAAAATATTGTTCCAAGAAAAATTTTTTTATATCGTTCTAAAAGGCATACATTTTTACTTTAAAATATGCTAAAATGTTTTTAATTGTTTTTTTTTCTTTAAATATTCAAGTTCAAAATCAGTAGGCTGGCACAATATTATACTATTATAAATTTTTATCAACGTGTCTTCTGGGTATAAGAAATTATGTAAATTTTGACTTGGGAACCTTTTCGATAAACGTTGCTGTATTTTTTGCTAATCTATAGTCACTTTTGCGTATACAAGCACTCACTTTATCACATTATCATCCCTTACTTATTTACTTAATTTTTTAATTAGCGGCCCTGTTAAACTAAGGTCTTCTGGCCTCGACCCTATTACCCAAGAGGTAGACACTCTCAAATTTAACACGGTGGGTATATTTATCATTAAAAAACTTGACGGCCATCTTAAGATAAATGGTAAAAACTTATTTTATCATAATATAGAGTACCAATCGCATAACAACGAGGAATTTTTTTTCTTTCGTGTGGCCACACTGGTTTAAGTCGTTCTGTTTACTTCACTATCGCACAGAAGCTTGTATAATATGAGGCGCTCAGAAGCCAAACTGATTATAACTCCATAAAATGAAATTTTTCAGGACAGGCAGTTGAAAGTTATTTGAAACAATGTATGTAAGTACAATTGCCAATGTACTTGGCGCACTCTAATGGTGAAAAATTCAACTGTGGAGTTAATCGGTTTGGCTTCTGAGAGCGCCTCATATGTTAGTCAGATCTGTTTATATTATTGTATACTCTATGCGTATAAGTGATTACTTATTAAACTTGCTATCCTGTGTGTGTGTGTGTCTATAGGATTCGCTTCAACAAGACTTGGTGCACTGTGATTTGCAAATCGACGGCGACGTGTTCTTCAGCAGCAGCGGAGACGTCCGGTATAGCAATCTCAAGGCACCGACCCGGGGCGGACGCAGACATTCCATCGGGTCCTTTGGCAACTATTCCAACCGACGTCCGTTGACAGAGTGCACGACCAAGTCACCTCGGGCCAAGCTCTCGTCTGGCGGCGACCCCAAAGGTAAACCGCACCACAGCTTGTGCATTATAAAATATGCCTATTGTGATTAAAAATATAACCATATTTTCAACATGCCAAGTAGGTAGATATATTGTAAAACAAATCACATACCTAGCCTATCCTGAAATTCTAAAGACTCGCGTGGAAAACAATGCACTTGTTTTAATAAGCCGTTATTCTCTGTAATACACTCGTGCCCGGTCGCGCCAAACTTGTCGTTATCTATTGGTAAATTATATTTTACCACCGTAATAAACTAACTTTTGTTAAACTTTATCTTTTGTTAAATTAACACGTTTTAAATTTACAAGTGTTGCTCAAACGTTGTTTTATATTCAGGTTAGTACCAGTATACTGGTTATCGAATCATGCTGGTATCAGCATTAGGAGTTAATAATATTATCATACAGGGTCTTATCAATAATAAACTGATAACGCACATTTCCATTATCACCACTTATACGCAAAAAATTGATAACAAAAATTATTTTTACACAGCGATAAATGATCCTCTAATTTAACTCGTATAAAGTCAATTTTTAACAACAGATAACATTTAAAACATGGTTTATGCAACAGAATTTATTTTAACTCCATTCAAATGAGTTTATCTCTGTGTAAATGGGTTGGTGCAACCCGGCATTAATTTTCAATTCTAACTATTGAAATATATTATAAAGTTAGCGAAACGGCGTGCACTGCAGTCTGGCCAGAATAAACAAAATTACATTTCTTTGGAACATATTTTTTTTAATTATTTCAATACAGCTACGGTGTGATACAAAACATGTTACTTATCATAGTTATCATATTACTACCACATTATCATATTGTCGTATGAAATTTGAATTTATCTATTGATCTATATAATTAATAAGGGCGATTGCTGTGCAGTGTTTAACACATTTTATAAAGGACGTATTTCTTTTTATTTAAAGTGGTCACACTGTCGCTCACCTTCTTGATTACTTCTTCGTTGCTGAGTTCAAGGCATTATGTGATGTTACAGCTCTATATATTTTTACTCTAAGATTCGGTTGTCTTCTGTGCCATAAGCTCATTTGGGTGTTTATAAAGTAGAATATTATGAAGTTAGTGAAAAGACGAGCTGCATTGTGACCAGATTGAGGAAATTATATTTGGATACATGTTTTTAATTGGTTTCACTACTGTATAGTACAAAACATATGACTTATCACAATATTGTAATAGTAAAACAGGTTAGAACTGAAAAAGATATTGGGTGGAGAGGGATTTAGAGGTAGACTTAATCTAAGAGTAGAATAAACGGGTGGACGTTATAAATAATATTACAAAGATTCGGAGATGATTTATTTAATTTAAAAAAATGGCGACGGATAGAAATGTGTGGGGAAAAAAAAGAGAACCAACGTTTTTGAAAAATATAGATTTTTAGAATAAAATTTAATGTTTTCAATTCCGTCCATGTCATTCCTATTTAAAAAAAATCAGCGTTAATTTATTTTACACGTATTATATAGTAACTGAAATATACATGTTATTTAGATGTGTGCGTTTTTAGATTAAATATCATGCTGGTATACATTATCAAATTAATAAAAGCGATTACCTATAATGGCACGTGCCTTTAAGTATCACAAATAGCACGCATGAATAACACACATTAATTCCAAAGTCAAATATTATACTTGTTTAAAAAAAATTAAAAATCGATAATAATATTTAATATTTTGTTTAAAATCTTTAGAAAACAACTGCTTTAGAAACGCAGATGTGTTTGGCTAATATTTATTTTTAAATATATTTAGGGAAAGCTCTATATAATGAAGAAGTAAGCAAGTTTAGTGTTAACGTAGAAAATAAAAATACAAAATTAGAGATTGAGGCTTTATTTGTTTTTAAACTTGTTATAATTATTATAGAAAACCTAGATACAGGGCATACATTACATTTTACACATTTTCAAGACCAGCTAATTTTATATTTTAATTATTAAAAATAGGTAAATTTTAGTAACACCCTAAAAAATCATAATAAAACATGGAAAATATCTTATATTTTCTTATTAAAAATGATCATAACTAATTTGAAAAAAATGATTTTTTCAAAAACTTTATTTTTTCTTTACTTATTTTCTAGTTAAATAAAAAATGTAATTAATTTTTTTTTTTTTTAATTTAAATGATTTAAAGAATTGTGCACGAAATATTATTTTTTGAAATCAAAATAACCGCTAAACTTTAAAATCGTACTTTCTTGCCTTGTGTACTAATTAATTTTGGTCTGCCGCAATAAAAATTAATTTTTTTTTAAATCTTAAATACTTGCTCTACAACACCTATAGGTATGTATTGATATGTGGGTAAAAATTGGGCACATTTGTGTACTACTTTCTTAAAACAAAAAAAACATGTAAAATATCTACAATATTAAATTATCTACTAGTTAAATAAAAAAATAAAAAAATGGAAAGTTTATATTATGTCTAAGAAACATATTAAAATGAATAATTGTTTTGATGTTTTTTGCATATTTGTCAATAGGACTTTTGAGCACCTAGAATTCGGCTCTTATCTCTTATCTCTTATCAGATAACAGCGTAACGCTTTTTCATGACAGTTTTTGGTAACAGTTTTTTTCGGTTTTGTACCGGAGCTAAGACATGACAAAATGTCAAAAAGTTTTTCAAGTGAGGTTTATTTTCATTGAATATATTCAAATCGAACGGTTTTGTATTTTCAAGACTAACGTTTTCCTTTAGTTTTTTGAACCCCGTGCCCCGAAGTGGAAATGAACTATAGTGTCCTCGTGTGTGTGTAATATAGCGGTGTACTTAAACAATAATAATTAGATCCAAGAATCGGTCGAACAAATAGCCGTCTACCAGTCTGTACATGCGTGGGCGCGACTTGGAGCGGGAATGCCTTAAAATAGTCTACTCGGTCGAATCTGGTCGTAGCACGTGTTTCCGAAGAGGACCGTACGGAGGATGTTTATTTCCGTACCCGCTGATGCAGATGGAACAAAATAAAAAAAATGTATGTTAAACGGTTTTAAAAATAACCAAAAAAAAAAGAGGGTTGAGGGTATTGTACACCACCGACGAATGCTTAATAATTATTTAAGAAATACAAAATATCAAAAGATATATTGTGTGTGTGTGTATTGAGTTTTAGTCGGTTGATTTGTCACGGACTCAAATCTCTTGCCCCTTGCCAGCTGTCATGGGGCAACAAGTCGTACACGTCCTGTGCCGATGGTGGTATGCCGTTGTTTTTTAAGGCGCACTTCGACACAATATTATATAACCTGGTCTGTTTTTAAGGAGTTTTGTATAGGCAATATATATGACTGTATGGTTGTAAACAGTAAAAAATGGTTATATATTTAAACAAAATAAAACAAAAATAAAATATTATTTAAGGAAAAAGTAGTTGGTCGTGTCAATTAATTTGAATGTCAAATTTAATTCAATTATACTTAATTTAAATTAAATTGATTAAGACTTTATCTAAATTCTAAATTCAAAAATTGATAATATTAAAAATACAAGTTTGGCTGGTCTATAATAAGGTTTTCTATTATAGTTAATGAACTATAAAATAATAAAAAAAAAAAATAGTCTTAATCTTTAGTTTTGTATTTTTTTTTATATTGACGCTTAACTTGCTCATTTCCTCAAAATAGTGCTTTCCTTAGATATATGATTTTAAATAAATAAATATTAGTCAAACGTCTAAGTTTCTAAAGCAATTGTTTACTAAGGATTTTTAACAAAATTTTAAATATCATTATCAATTTTCATTTTTTGCTTCCATAATAAATGGCTGAATATCAAATTAGATTGAAATATTGCCTAGACTTTTCTCTGTAGTGTGGCGTTCTCTTGAAACTCTTAAGTTGTTTTTAAGCAACAGTGAAAACTTTTTCTTTGTTTCGCTTTTTCAATTTAGTTGTTTAATTACATTTTTTAATAAGAGCGTGTAAGTACAATTGAACGGTTTTAGAGTAACATTTGAATTTGTACAGTTAATGTGGTTCAAATAAGGTTGTGTGTACATTAACTCGTTTGAGATGATCAAACTTAGCTAAATCATTGTCTTCGATGAAAAATAAATAAATAGAGCTTAATAATATACAACACAATAATACACACAATTTTTTTTTAAATCACTAAGAATACAAATTTTTATTTATATTCTCAGTGATTTAAATTCTGAACCGAATATCGAAAAAAAGGATAATGTAATAAATATTTAATAGTACCACCGTCTAATGTAAACTGTTTTATACGAGTATGGTGTTACATGTATTTAATATCAATTAGTTTGGACTTAAGTTACATTAGTATATAGTTTTAATGGTCACTGCCCACTATGCTATCACCTTTACTACATCAAGATATAATATATATATATTTGATCCTACTACAATGGCAAGATGCCAATTCAAACAGAAATTATATAAATATCTCAACACTAGATTTTACTTTATATTATTATTTTATTTTTATTTTTTATGAGACGTAGAACTTAAAGGACATTGATACTGAATTCTACGCTTTGCTAATAATAGGCAATTTTCCTAACTTAAACTTGAACTTTTTACAGAAGGTGCACGCAGTTTTTGAGATATCTGACTTATTAACGAATTAAAATAATAATAATAATGTTAACATAGCCACTTGTGGTCTACTATTGAAAATTAAATAACACATTATTATTATTAGGGTCAAGTGGGATAAAATTGTTCTACAATTCAGCCTTATCTCCTTGATTTTCAAGAATTTTTATGCCAAATATATGTAATGTCTTCAAAATTATAAGTAGGTAGTTGGGTTTTAGTGATGTGTAGCTAAGAAGGTGTGTATATTTTTCAACTTAAAACTGCGGCACATATTTTCATATCTTTACAAAAATTCTCAAATTAAGAAAAACCCCTAAAAAAAGGGCAATTGTATACTTGGACAGATGTAAATTTCTAGATATGATTCGAATCAAAAGACAACAAGTATTTAA